ATTCAACAACTAAAATCGGGATGATAACTTTCAGTTTCATCATCTGAACTTGTTAGCAAATGATGTTTTTACCTTAAGGGGCAATATATCATTTATAACGAGATGTTTAATTTTGAGACTGTAGATTCAATATCAAATTTCCCAAAATAAGATTAAATTTTTCAGAACCTCTTTTCAAAAATTTCACCAACAAGTAGTAATATAATTAAGAAGGTTGAAAATCAGAAGAAGTAAGCCTTTTACAAGAGATAGACAATCCTAAATATTTCAAAGAATTTTGAGAAATAACAATTCCCAAAATTTTACCAATATCTTTTGATATAGAACATGTTTTTTAGAATATGATATAACTCTTAAAATGATTAATAAACAGCCTACAAGATCTTGAAAAATAATCCAAAATACCTTTCATCTTTTAAGTGTTTGAAATAGAAGCTTTCCCAAAAATAAGAATATCATCCGCATATAATAAATGAGAAATAAAATTATCACTTGAATTAATCCTTTACACATACCTGAAGAAGAGCTACAGAAACCATTAAGCAGTATTGAGAAAAAATATATTTAATACACCATTTAATCTAAGAAACAAAAATATGAGGAAACTCTATATGGGCCATTCTATTAAGTAGGAAATCTCTGGAGATAGTATCAAAAGCTTTATGAACATTTAATTTAGCACAAAAAAAAATTATACTTGAACTATTAAAGTCTCTTAATAATTCAGAAGCAAGAATAATATTATCCGTATAAAAAATCTTTTTAATAAAATCAGATTGATTAGAATGCATAATAAAAGACACAACACTCTACATCCTATTTACCAAAAAATTTGCCACAATTTTATAAAAAATATTACACAAGCATATATGCCTAAAATAAAAAAATTGAGAGGCATTAGCATGCTTAGGAATAAGAGCAATAGCTGTGGCTTTAGCAGCCCTAAACATATACCCAATATTTAAAAAAATACAAAATAGTTTTACAAAAAGAAGACCGAAATATTTTCCAAGAGTTATTAAAGAACTCAAAAGTAAAATCATCACGACCTAGTGTAGAAAAAGAAGGGCTTGAAAAAAATCATGTTTTTTATTTCATTAATAGTAACAAAAGCAATAAAAGAATGAATAAGAACATTCATAATAGTTTTACCAACTTAATATCATAAAGAGAAGCTAAACCCGACTTAGGAGAATTAAAAAAAATTCTTAAAATGTTGCACAAAAGCATCATAAATCTCTCTAGAATCAGAGATAATACCTTGATAAAAAAAATTTACCATAATCCTATTCTTATTATGTTTATAACAAATTTTAGAATAAAAATAACTCAAGTTTCTCCACAAGAAATCTATTTAGCTTTGGACCTCTGAATAATCCAAGAGGATCATAAAGACATATTATAGTGAAGAAACCCATTAACATATTTAAGGGCCAAATTAAGATTTAGGTCCAATGGATTATCTTGAATTTGCTTTAACAAACAATCTTGATGTCTTTGAAGGGTCTAAATAGAATTAGAAACATGCTTAGAAGAATTTGCTTTTTAATAATACTTTTGAGATTTCACAATTTGAAATAAAATCATTAACAGGATTTCCAAGAGGAGACATGGTAAATACATTAATAAGCAAATCTCAAAATTATGGCTTTTTACACCAAATTTTTTTTTAAAAAAAAAAATCTATTATGACAAGTAGACAAGCCTTTATTATAATATAAGAGGAGAATGGTCAAAACAAATAGGATTTTCCACTAATTAATAAGAATAAGGAAATAAATCCAACCATAAACTACTAACAAAAAACCTATCGAACTTTATATGAATAGTACAATTACTAACTAATTAAACTAAGTAAAGAAATGCCCAACATAAGAAAGTTCATGGAAATCTCAATTAAAAATAAAATTATTAAAATCCCACAGCTTATCACTTTGGATAAAATTACCACCCAATTTCTCATTAACAATTTTACAACAATTAAATTCCCCTAGTAAAATCCAAGGAGAATAAATGTTATCAGTGAATTCCAGAATATCTTGCCAAAGAGTATTTATTTTAACATCCAAATTATAAGCTTATATAACAGTAATAAAAACAGAAAAAGAAGAATAAGTTTTCATAGAGCCATGAATGAATTAATTAGTAGAACGAATGCTAGTGAAAGAAACAAAAGAAGCATTCCATTTCAACCAACTCCTGCCTCGAATAGAAAATTTAAAATTGTTGTAACTTTCATCTTGCTGAAAAATTTTATGCTTTGCATCAAATCAAGGATCCTCAATCTCATCCAACTTTATCTTAGCTTCAAGAATACAAAAGAAATATGCTTCAAATTTATTAACCAGATATTTACAAGCATTAAAATTTTATGCTTTGCATCAAACTTGCTGCCTTTTTGACATTTTTTGATATAGTAAACTTACCAAAAGCTAAAGGAACCTTAAAATAGGTTGCACATTAGCAATATATTGAGCAAGAACATTATCTTTATTTTGGAAAACTAAAGGAGACTCACCACCTTGTTTCTCCATAGCTAAATCCTCCACGCTTTGTAACCTGAAACATATTAATTATTTTGAATATTACAATCCTTTACCAAAACATTTGAAAAAGAATTAATATGAGAGCCTTTCACATTTATTTCAAAACTTTCTAATAAATCAGAAGGAAGATCTTTTGTAAGAGAATTTAAATTAGGCAAAACTTCTTTCATGTTAAAAGAGTAAACTTCTAAATTTTCTAAATCAATAGATTTATGGAAAAACAACAGAAGACCAAAAATTAACTGATTTAGAAGACAAACCTTCTTGCCAATAATCCAAAACTCGAGAAGGTTGAGAATATTGTGGTTTAAAAATAGGATGGGGGACAGAAAGCATTTAATTCAGAGGTAGATATTGATTTCGAGGATTAGATTTAGTAGGTTGAGAAGTTTCGGAAGGACAAGCAGCAGTCCTCCAAACCTTCCTGCTCCTACTTCTCCCCCTATTAGATTCCAGTGAATATTTTACCTAAGAAACCTGGGGCTTAACCAGACACAAAGAAGAACTATGAACGATAGAACCACACCCTAAACACGAGGAATGCTTCCAATCATACACAACATTTAAAGAAAAAAAATATTATCAACAACATAAATATTAAATTCATCAAGAAGAGTAGAATATTTATTAATCAAAATACAAAGTCTAGAAAAAGACAGTCTAGCTTGTTCTGCAGTTAAAGAATCTACAACAATACGTGTCCTGATTAAACTCGTAATCTTCGAAATACCCTATCGTGTTCAACACACCAAAGGGAGATCAAATATCTTAATCCATAGAGGAATAGAAACAAATTCCTCTCGTTTAGGATGAAATAAGGGAGACCAATGCAGAATGATAAAAGGTTTACCAAAAAAGAACCAAGGTTCACCATACCAAACTAAATCATAATGCTCATGACAAGAAAATTTCACCAATAAAAAGCCTTCACTTAACACAAGAAGAGTAATATTACCTTTCAACTTTTAAGATTTAAGTATAACAAATCTTAAAGCTTCTAAGTATGGTCACTTACCTAGGGAATAACCAACCAGTGTCATTCCCCATTTTTTCTGATGCAACTGGAACATTTCGTTAAGAAAAAATGAGTAACATTATCTAAAGATGGAACAAAAGAAATAGAAAATGGTTTTGAGTGAAGATTAACGAGTTGTCAATAACCCATTCCAAGATTTCATTCCCGATAAAGACTTCCCTCTTGGTATGTTGGTTGGAACTTAACTCTATGAGCACACTTGAGAACCTATGAGGATGAAGAGAGAGAGAGAGAGAGAGAGAGAGAGAGAGAGAGAGAGAGAGAGAGAGAGAGAACAAGAGAGAGAAAATGTACCATGATAACTCAAATAAATGTAGTATAAGTGCCAATGGATGTCAATGATGCAATAAAATATTCATCTTTACCTTTTATTGATAGGGATCCAAGGGCTATAGATAAAACTACATTGAGTAAAATGAATAAAAAATGCATAGATTAATGACTCTTAGTATATACTATCTTAGGCACGTATCACACTCGGACTTGATGGGAGATTGCCTTGCTTGAACTTAATTATCTGCCTCCGGGCAAGTTCAATAATGTCGAGTATTTGTGGGTGAATAGGCATAAGTCAGTCCATTAGTGAGCCTTGAATAGAGAGATCTATGACAGGCAAGAACTTTGAAGTTACTAGCAGCCTGCATTGAGGCCTTAGATCCCCTCGGGATGGAAGACAAGTATAACTTGATTTGCGGGGAAAATAGGCTTCATGATCGATTGACCGAAATGGTAAGTGAGACTCTCTTTAGTGGGCGCTTTCCCGTAGCTTATGCGACCAGCATGATTAATAATAGTACTTTATCGTGGGTGAGGGTGAGTAAGCCTTGATTGCAAGCCCTCCTAGGGGGTGAGTGGCGAATTGAGCAATCTGCAAGGACCCTTGACTATCCTTGTGAGTGGCGACTCCCCACTCGATGTCTCAATGAATGAGGTCTTGATGAACCTTGGACGAGTTCCCCTTCTAGGTCTCCAAGACATGAATCCACCTGCTATAACTCACCAACTACCTATTGAACACTTGGAAAGGCATATGAGAGCAAACAATTATATTATATTATTTTTGCATGATTTTCTTTTTGACGTTACCTCTCCCATTTATTCAATCACATTAATTTTTATGAATCTCATATCATCTTTGAGCAACTTGTTTTCCATATTTGTAACTCTAAGATGGAGGATAGTGTGATAATGAACTTTTCATAATATATAGATCTATAATATATTTTTTTAATATTTAATTATTTTTGTGTTGTATTTCCCCCCCTCAAAATTGAAGCCGGCTCCGCCTCTGTGTGAATGTGAAGTGAGCAAATGAAATGTGCAAATTCACATGCACACAACATCATGAATAAAAAAAATGATGTTCTATTTATTAAAATTTGATCAACATAAAAAATTAAAACTATCATACTGATTTTCAGAATAATTGTAATATAAAAGTTAATTAATTATTGTAATCTTAAGATAAGAAGAAGTATCCATAGACATGCTATAATGCTTTAGCACTCTTCGGGGTTTGGCCATATTAACTAATGAGTCATCTTATCGTTCCAATTATCAATTGCCAGTTCCATCCAAACGAACAGTATATACTTAGTGCTTCTGACCCAAATTGGCCTTATCAGACTTATCTTACAACTCATCACTTGCACCACTACCACCAACCCTCTTATTATTACAAAGCAACCAAACTTTTCATCTATATATGGAAATAGTTGATGAATCACCCTATAATTTTGGCTGCATTCATATAGTTCTATTGCTCATATGCTTTGCTTCTGTAAGTGCCAGAGGGACCTTAAAGTCTAAGCCCCACCACTATATGCATACATCTCCCTTGCTTATAAATATGGCGATGAATTGAATATGTTTTTAGCAACTCCTTGCTTCCCTTGAGACTGTGAGTGAGATCAACTACTAATGGATGGAACTCTTTCCTTTTTATGCATTGTCTCTGTCCTTCTTTTCATTTCACCTTCCAACTCTCAGAGTACTTTCAATTTCTCTCGTGCTTCCTTCTATGGCAGCTTCGACTGCCCTGCTAGCTTAGACTGCCCTGCTAACTACAGTAAGTATTCACAATAATTTCTTCTGAAAAAGCTTAAAATAATCTCCTCTCCTAACAACATCAATTTTTTTTTTTTTCAATTTAGTCAATAGACCTTAAAAAATTAATCCAAGATGACCCCTCATAGAGAAATTGAGAAATATAATACTCTATAGCGTTGTTTGAGATTACTTTCTTGTTGCTTCTTAAAGTATCTTTTTAGTATAAAAAATTTAATATTTGTACTAAAAATATTTCTTTAAGAAGTGAAAAAAAGGCTGTCCTAGATGAAGCCTAAGACTCCGGCTTTGTTTGGAACGACTTTCTTATTGCTTCATAAATAAGCTTTTTAGTACAAAATTTTTAATTTTTGTATAAAAAACTTATTTAAGAAGCAGTAAGAAAGCCGTCCCAAATGAAGTCTTTGTTTGTGACTGCTTTTTTATTGTTTTTTAAAACGGAGTTTTAGCAAAAAAAAATTAATTTTTTTACTAAAATTTTGTTTAAAAAAAAACAAAACGTCTCAAATGAAGCCTAAATCGATCACGTATCCCTAATAAAAAAGCTATTCCATAAAAATGACACATTTTTCTTGTTAACCTGCAGGAGGAGCCTGTGGTTACATTGATCTTGGACTTCAAATCAATGGTGGTGATGTAGCGGCAGTGCACAAGTTGTATCGTGGCGGCACAGGTTGCGGTGCGTGTTACCAGGTGCGATGCACATACCCACAAATCTGCAACACGGATGGTGTGAATGTTGTGGCGACAGACTACGGTGTTGGAGACGATACAGATTTCATCCTCAGTGCTCGTTCATTTGCAAAACTTGCTCAGCCTAATATGGCTTCCCAGTTGATACCATATGGTGTAGTAGATATTCAGTATCGCAGGTATATTAAAATATACATAAGAGTAATAATTTAAGCTTTTTTGAGGCAGCTTTTTTACTGTTTTTTTAAAAGCAGTTTTTTATTATATAAGTATTTAGAATTATAAATTCTTAAAACAGCTTTTAAGTACAAAAATTTTAACTTTTGTACTAAAAAATTATTTTAAGAAATAGTAAGAAAATGTTTTAAGAAGCAGTATGAAAGCCATTACAAATGAAGCCTTAGTCATCAAGTATAAAATCCTTATATATTTTTAGATTCGCTTATCTTTACGTCATATAAAAAACATTATTGTTAAATTATTTAAAATAAAATAGAAATTTAGATTAAGATATATAAATAAATATAAAAATTATGGTATATATATAAATGAATATGCAATTGCTTATCTCAGCCATTCAATTTATTTTTAAAGGTTAAGAAACAGAATGACTGAGATGAAGAACTGCATATTGTACATGATTGATCAATGGTTAATAATAATAATATTTATATATATTAATTTTATTATTATGGAATATTAATTATTATTTATAATTTCTTATTGATGCAGGATATCATGTAAGTATCCAGGATCCAACATGATGGTTAAGATCAATGAGCACAGTGATTATCCAAACTATCTTGCTATCATTATCCTTTATCGAGCAGGACAGAAGGATATCGTAGATGCTGAAATATGGCAGGTATAATTAACCTTCCTTATTTGTATTTCGTTACAATAACCGCATCATGTTTTTAGCATGCTATATGGGGTGGCTATATGAATCATTTTTCTCAAATATGTCTTGTTAAGAGTCAATTTACTAAAAATGTCATTTCTAATATTTTCCAGTCAAGACTTTTTAGGTCTACCTCTGACTTTCTTAATATAGACCAAATCCAATATGTCAACTCTACTAATCGGGTCATTAGAAGACTGACTAATATGTGTTCAAACCATCTAAGATGACTCTCTCTAATCTTATCTGTCACTGAAGCTACTACAACCTTTTCACATATATGCTCGTTTTGCATTCTGTCTCTAAGGATTGTTTGGTAGCACCTAGGATTTGATTTAAGTAGGATTTCATAAATATGTTAAATCTATATTTTGGAAACCTGAGAGGTCTAAATCCTGAAAAATAATTTGGTAACATTCATGTAAATCCTATTAAATCTCGTGTGACTGTTTGGCTATAGAACGGATTTAACGAGTAGATTCTTCCTCTCGAGCCAACAGGTTTCGTAAATCCGACAAAAAAAATGATTTCGGAAATCCTGGATTTAGCATGAAAAGGCAGAATTTTCCGTCTAAGGTTGTTTCATTTGCCATGAGATTTGGTTTTGCATTTTAGGTTGTTTTGTTGGATTTCACTCAAATTCGGCCTAAATTCTGCTACTAAACAGCCCCTAAGAGTGAAGCCAATCTATTTTCAACCATTTAACCCTATTTCAGCAGTGTTTTAAAAATGTTAAATTACAGTTTTTAATGCTTTTAGATGGCTTTAAGTATAGTTAGAAAAATTGTGTATTATAATACAGAAATTTAGTTGATTTGATATTGGCTGTACTGACAGAAGGACCACAAGGCATGGAGGAAAATGCGTAAGCCATATGGTGATGTGTGGGACATGGAGAACCCTCCCAAGGGTCCCTTGACCATCCGATGTCAAACGAGCGGTGATGATGGTCAGAAGTGGGTGCAGCTTACAGGTGTGATCCCGAGTAATTGGCAAGCAGGTGTAACCTATGACACATTGGTTCAGCTAGACTGAAACCTGTATCGTAATGTATGCTAATTTGCTTTTAATGATATAATAAAGCTAGCTTTAGCAGATGATATTATTGATATTATGTATCTATTTTGATTACTTATGATGTTGGACTAAGGTTTTGTTTCAGACAAATTTTTTATGGCTTTTTAAAGTAGCTTTTTTTACTGAGGGTCCACTGGTGCTATAAAATTACACTCTATCAAAGCTACAAAATTCTGGAAATCTATCTGTAAGACTGCCTCTGATGCTAAAACTTGCTTCTACTTTAGAATCACTAGGCAAGCTCCTATTTCGTTACTAAGGGACCACTGGTGCTATAATCTTACACTTGAGGAATACTTGGGTCATGGTGTTTCACACCCAGATTGTGCTCTGGGTTCTTTTTATAAGGATGATAATTGGATGCTTCCTGATTTCATGCCTGTGCAACTTAAAAACCTATTTCTGCTTGCTACTGATGGTGAGGCTCCCTGCTTACTTTGGAAAAATGGGTATAACTCTAACTTTAAAAATTATAGTGAGGAGTTTTATATAGATTTACCTAGTTGAAATTGGTCCAAAGGTGTGTGGCACAAAAGAAACTGTCTAAAACATAATGTCTATGTGTGGATGGCTCTTGGATGGGGACTTAAAACTGCAGATGCTCTTCGGATTAGGCATATAGTTGTGCCTAGCAGATGTAATTTATGTCATATCTTAGATGAATCAGTATCCCACCTCTTTTATGAATGCACCTACTCTTTTTCTGTGCTCAATGCTCTCATTCCAGCTACTGTGGGGATGTTTTTTAGACCCTCCCTGCTTCAACTTTTTGTCTGGGTAAATGATACTTACAAAGGCAAGGCTTCGATAAATTTTTTTTACAAATTTTTGATATGCTGCTCTACTTATTACATTTGGAAGGAAAGAAATTCAAGGAGATTTGGGGGTAACATGCAAAGTTCTAATACTCTTTCTTTGCTTTTTAGTATTTGAAAAAAAATTTAAAATGGAAGGATTCTTTTCAATTACTGGAAAGGCTATAAGCGGGGGGTATCTCTATTTTTGTGATGTGGTTATATTGGGTTGGTGCATCTGTGCTGATGTTGGATTTACTCAATGCTGGATTCTTTCGGGTCCCTTTGTCCCTTCGTTAATCCTGCATAGCCCAGACTGGACAATGATGATGCTCCTATTTGCAGGCCCCTTGGACGGCCTTTGGGCAACCAGGGTTTTGATATTCTTCTATTTTGATTTCCTAAGTCTAATCTTTATGGCTTGGGAGCTGGGTACTGCTTATCTTACTATGCAGGTGTTGGATTTTTCTGAAGCTGAATCTTTCAAATTGGACTTCCGCATCTGCACTTTTATTTGTCGGCCTGCCGCTGATAGGCTTCATGTTCTGGATTGCTACTTCGGGTGCAAATTCTTCAATCTGCTGTGTTATGTGCTTTATATTCACTGCTCTTACTTCTGCTGGTTGGATGTAGCAGCCTTCAAGCTTTTTTTTGTGCCTCTTCAGTGCATATTACCACTTTTTTGGTTCTTTAAATGATTTTTTTTTTTGGGTGGTATAGTTGTGGTTTATTTCTTTTGCCCTTCATAAGTTTTTATTTTTGCTTATCTTTGGGGTGTTTTTACTTGTAACTTCTTTACATGTAACACTTTCTTTTTATAGTAATTTATGAGCCTAGGCCCCAAAATTTCCCCAAAAAAAGTAGCTTTTTTTAAAGAAAATTTTATTTTCTAAAAAAGATGCTTTATAAAGCAATACAAAAGCCATCACAAATAAAGCCTAAGGTTTCATTTGGGACAGCTTTCTTCCTGCTTCTTAAAATAACTTTTTAATACAAAAATTAAAAATTTTGTATTAAAAAGTTGTTTTAAGAAGCATTTAAAATGCCGTCCCAAACGAAGCCTAAATGAGCTGTGTGAAAGTCGAATGGGATTGCAAGAATGGGTAAGAAATAAAGTATATTTTAAATTAATTTTAAATCATATCATTTTAATTTTTAATATTTTTTCATATTATAAATTTAATATTCTTATTATAAACTCTATTTTTATTATAGTTTTTTAAAATTTAAATATATTTAATATGCTTGTATTTATGTTTATAATACACATATACTTATATACACATTAATGATAACGTGCTTCATAATAAGTTTTATGTCAAACTTTAATCGGACTTTTCACGAGTTTTAAATGATATTAGTGTTAATAATCACAAATGATGAACAAATTAAACTTGTTCATTTAATAATATATTTTTTCATATAAGTGTTCAAACTAATTCAACCAGTTAATTGAACAATGATGAATGAGCTATAATCTAGTTGAATTAGACGCAACGTATAGTACGTTGCATTCATTTGTAGTTCTAATTATTGTACTCGTAAAATTTCTTGAACTAATATTACAACGAAAATTACAATTATGATCCTGCGCGGATAAGAGAGCGGCCGTGTTAGTATCATTGATATAAATTTGGTGAATAACAGAGAATTTCAAGTTGATGATAGGAACATTGGATATGAATATTGAACTCACTATGACTTTGGATTCTTTTGACTCTAATCATAAATTTCTAAGTTTAAAGTTTTAGCATATAAGAGCATCAGGAATTGAACCAGCATTAATTTTCAGGGAGGCAAACTAATAAGTAATTATTGGTGTTACCTCAAAATTGACTTGACCATTCACTACAAGAAAATGGGTCAATAATAACAAAAAAAAGAGAAAAAAGAAATTGGTTGATAAATATATCTTTTAACTACCAAAAGTGACTAGGCCTTGCAATACCCTAACTATATCCTTGATCATTGTACACTTCACAGATGCGTTGGAGGTCCAAGGGGGCAGCGCCTTCTGGTGGGATTCGACTTACCCGATTAGATCATTGGGTTAAGAGGCAACGCCCTGTAGGGGTTTCAGGAGGTAGAATCACCATAATAAATTTTGATTGTAAATATATTTTTGAAATTCAAATTAGTAAATAAAATGATGAGTTCTATTTACTATTTCTCTTTGTATTTGATTCATCGTTTCCTAATAACATATCTACATTATGTGTTTAATTGTGTTAGGGGGCAATTACTTAAAGACCATAATATTTTAAAACTTTTTGAGCGACAATTGCCTAAAAATCCTAGTAATAAAGAGTAAATAATTGGCCAAGGTTGACAAATTATTTAAAGACTTATATAATAAAGTTTTTTTTTTAATTTTATTTTATGGGGCCCTTATCTAAGAGCCATTATTCTATGTGGACACCGGACGGTTCTTCCATCCGGTTAAGTGCTGGGTACCGAGGGGTACCGAGCTCAGTACCAAACAATGGGGTGACGTAATATATTTTTATTGGTCTCCATACGCCATCTGGACTCCACATAGAATAATAATGATGCGGACATCGGTACGAAGATTTGGCGCATCTATCACAGGAGGCATCGTAAATCGATGGCTATAATTTAAACCTTCAATTATGATTTATTTTTATGAATTTTAGTTCTTAAATAATGTATTTCCTGTTTTACCCCTAGGATAGTTTATGTGAGTGTTATGGCCCAAGGGGAAATTTTGTAATTTTTGATTTTTCTCATGTTGTGGCCTATATATAGGGCCTTTAGCTATTGCAATGGGATGAAGAATTGATATTAAAAATTTATGCTCAATAATCGTGCTCTTGTGAGAGGACGATAGTGGGATTTCTATGGAGAGGAATCGGAGTTTCACCAGCCGCAGAATGGGTCCGGGCTCGTGAATTGAAGTCCCTTGGAAAAAGGCAAAGAATCACCCGTCAGTCTTTGGAAGAGTCCGAGGCTCACGGTTTTTATTTTCTCTCTTTCGTTTTATCTTCTATCTTTCTTTGTTTTTGTTTTGTTCCCTCTTTTTTTTCCTAGCCATCGTCTTTCTTCATCCTCCCCTCTCAACCCCTCGGCCAAACCACCATACCATGCTCCACAAATTTTTTCCCATAGCCGCCGGCCACCTTCACCCGATCCCACCCTCTTGGCCGCCGAACACCTTCCCCCATTAGCTCCTCCACCGCCGGCCACTCATGTTTGTCTACATGAATGAGGAGTCAATGTCACCTTAATGCTTATCTAAAGAGTTCAAATAATTGAGGAAATTATTTTCATCCTTTGAAATTCGAATTTTGAATTTCAAATAGTTTCCTAAATTAGAAAGCTATTTTAGGAAAGTATCGAATCTCATTCATGATGTAATTCAAACTTAATTTGGGTGATTTAATTTTGGACGGTTTTCAAATTTTCAAATTCCACTAATTTGAAAATTGAATTCTTTCCTAATTTATCATTCTATTTTTGAAAAGTTTCTAACTTGACACTATTTTGAATTCAAATTTAAATAGAGTTAATTAAATACTTTCCTAAGTTCCAATCTAATTTAAGCAAGCTTGTACACATGGCACACAATCCCAATCCCCCATGATCATGCTGCCGCCCCCCTCTTCAATAGCCAAGCAATTTCCATTTAATTGTTTTGTAATTTTAAGTCCCTCCTTTGGAAATAATTACAATTCCCGTAACAGTTTTGTTCCTCACATCCAAATCCTCAAATCTCCATTTAATTGCTTTCCATTAGTATTATTCTCAACTTGGACAATTTGATTTATTTCTAAATCACTGAATTAATTTTTAGCTTAAAACCCCACGTCCCCTCCTCATTTAATTCCTTCCCAACTCATATTTTTCCCGTTGAAATTAAATCCCTATTTCCTCTCAAGCTCTGCCGCCCCCTCCTCTATCTTAGTTGCACTAGAAAAGCTTTTCTAGTGCAGAACCTGATGCTTGGCATTTACCTTCAGCCTTCTCATAGCCATTAAGGCTTGACTCCTCCCTCAAATTCAGCCACTACATTTAATACACCGCAAAATAAAAATTCCAGAAATCAAGGCATCATCCTTGGTGCCTTCCCAGCTGAACACTAATTGTCCTGCGCCACCTAACAATCAGTACATCTTAGGAAAGTTACCAGCTGCTGTCCTAAAGTTTATCCTGCAATCAAGTAAGACTCCCACTGTATTCAAACCATCAAGAGTTTGCAGGAATTCTCCAGTGCAACCCTGCGGAACTCCACCTCTCCCTAGCACAGCCTCCTACCCGTTCTATATCAAATAAATTATCAGCTAAAGGGGGATCCGCCCATAAATAATATTTTTTTACCACTTCTTTAAATAATAATCAATTTTTATATAAAAAAATCAGACTTAAAAATAATAAAAAGAATAGTTTTGCCCGCATCTTACTACTAGGTTTTCTCAAATCCTTGAAATGTTAGTGACGAGCAACGCGGCACGTAACAGTTTGAACGACACTCTTCCACCTATACATTCACCGTCTAGTCCCCTGGTTCATGGCCTCTCCCAGTTAACTGCCACCCACCGCCACCCTGTTATAATCGACGAGATGTGTGACGGTCCACCGCCCTTTAATGGCGGCTTTCGCGAGTCGCGGCTGCTTCTGCCGGCGTGGATCGAGGAGCAACTCGCGGATCAGTACCATGAGATACAGGGCTTGCTTCTCGATAACCAGGGGTTGACGGCTACTCACATCGCGCTAGTGCAAGAACTTGTTGCCGTCCATCACGAGCTTCATCGCGTCTCCCACGCTGTTGGGTCTATGCAGGCTGAGAGGGATGCTGAGTTTTGGGAGGTATATCTTTTCTCTTTGATCAATTATAATAATAATTTTTTTTTTTTTAACTTTTGTTTTTTTTGTTTCCTCGTTCTAGGGTTCTCTATTTTTAGATGTTTGAGCGATGGATAGTTTTTGCGCTTAAATTCATTGTAAGCTCTATGGAAAAAGGATTTAAAACCTGTCTGTAGGGAAAGCTAGGCGATAATTTTTTGAAAGCCCTATATATTGAATCTGTTTGTGCTCATTGGTTCCTCATATACCTTGTTGATTTTCAAATTATGTACATTGTGGAACAAGTACTAATTGCATCATTCGATGATTAAAAAAAAATCTACATGAAGCGAGTTTATGAAATGAAAGTGGAATCATGCTTGCTGCTGATAAATCTTGTATTAGCATGTAGGCCATAAATCTGGCCATTCTTTATATAGAAGTGCAATTTAAGCATATTCTTGTAACACACAGCGATCCTCCTTATGGAATTAACAGGTTTATGACAATTCCATGAAGATGAATGCAGAACTTAGTGCTGCTGATGCGATGAGGGCTGAGCTCATGCAGGTTCAGGGTGAAATAGAAAAGCTGAATGCAGAACGGAAGGATCTTACAGCCAAAGTTCAGATGCTTACCCAAGACATGGAGAGGGCCTCAGCCGAATTGCAGCGGGCTTTGGCAATTAAAGCTGAAATTGAAGGTATGAAGCAGGAAGTGCAACGTACTAGGTATATTTTTGGTGCCCTTTGCCTTTCTCAATCCTTTAGGCAAATAAAAACGACATTTGTATTAGTATAGTCCTCTTGTGAAATTTATTCTTTTTAATTGGGTTCGACTGAGAAATTGTTGATTCATTGAGGTTTTGTAGAATGATTAGATGCCTCATAAGGGTAAAAAGTCCTTAGCTTTATTCTTTTTTCAGCACAAGGATGACATGGGAAATCGGCTTACTTTATTTGATCTTTAAAATGGAGATAAGCTTGGGAATGCGTTGATTTACAGGGATGCTATAGAGTACGAAAAGAAGGAATATGCTGATAATTATGAGCAAGGTCAGTTACTAGAAAAAAAATCTAATATTGATGGCTCGCAAAGTAGAAAAGCTACGCCTAGAGGTGGCTAATGCTGAGAAGAGGGTTGTAGAGGGAGAAGCTGCTGGAAATCAAGGTACATGCGTCACGTTTTTCCTGCAATTGACAGATCAAAGTTGCTCATTCAACTTGGTTTTGTGAAAATAGGCACTAACAATCATCACGTCCAATTAATAATGAAATGATATTGAAAATTTGATAATTATAATAGGAGAAAATTAATTAATTTCCTCAAAATCAATTCTCGATCAAAATCAAAAGCATTATGCTAACCAATAACAAATTATGTAGAAGAAATATATGAGGAATGAATTTAGCATAGTGGATAAAAATCTGATCTCACTTCATTGCAAGATGACTTCCAACTGAAACAGTAGTCGCATGTGCGTGCAATTCAATATATTCTCAGCAAAGAAGTGAAAATATGAAGCTATTTTTCTCAAATCCCGTAGCAATAAGAGTTTATGGAGATCCTTTGGGCCTTCCTATGGCCCCATAGGATAATGAGAAATTATTATGTGCGGAGTCCGAATATAGAGGATCTTACGGATTATTGCATACCCTATGTGTAAGCTCTGCCTACGCTTTACGTATTTACTGTTTATTTGTAGATACATAGTAAATAAGCAACAAATAATTAGTTGTGAGGATTTGCTGCTTATTTGCTGTGTATCTTCAAATGTATGCACGTTTGTATTTATGTATTTAGGTTAAATTTCCTTCTTAATTTGCTTTGTCTTGTCTTACTAGTTGCAACTCTATAGTATCTTTGTTGTTTTTGTGAAGAGATTCAATTTGGTTTCAACTCTATCAACTATTTTACTTTGTCATGTATTAGGAACTTACATCTCCGTTTCAGTTTTAATTTTGGAAACTAATTTTGGATTTTGTAGCAGCAGGCTTTGTTGGGAACTATTGGAACCCTGATTCCACCCATAGAGGAAACACTTACCCTTATGGTTATGGCATGAATTCTGTGCGCCTGCTTCACTTGCACCAAAAATGAATAATCTTATATATTTTTATAATTTTTTATGACATTGTTGCATTTTAAGGTTCCCGGAGGTGTTGATACTGGAGCACAATGTGCAGCTTCATTCGGTCCTGGACATGGTTCTTGGAGTGCTTATGGGCAGAGATAAAATAGTAGGTTTTGACTGATTAAAACTTCTTTTGCGACGGATAGAAAGCTGTTTTAAAAAGCAGTAAGAAAGCTATCTCAAATGAAGCATAAATCTTTCCCTTGAAATTCTTTCTGAATCCCCTTGAAGTGATGTTTACTAACATTCTAGGCTAGAAAACTGAAATCTGTGAGACCTGACTTGTGATGGTGGAATTTTTAGTTAATCATTATGAGTATTATTAGTTTGGATTTTGATTATTTTGATGTAGCAGTTAAATCTAATGTACTTGAAACCTGCAAATAGAGTACATTGATCAAGAAGGACTGAATGATCCTCAATTCTGATTGTTTTCCTAAAAAAATTTCTTTGTTATCCTCAGTTCTGATGAATGGTGGTTTGTTCGCTTAATTCTTCTTTAAGATTACAGTGCAATGAAGAGATGTTTGTTTCTTTCTTTCTTTATTTTTTTAAATCTTTTACATATAGTTTATGTACTATTATTAAATTTAATTTGCCGAGCTTGGTATTATCATTATATTCAAAAATTACTTAAATACTCGAGACATCAAACTTTGAGGCCTTTCTTAGGCACAATTAGTATTCGGCTTGGTTGGAATAGTTTTTTTACTGTTTTTTAAAAATAATTTTTTTAATAAAAAAGTTTTTTGAATTAAAATTTTTTGTACTAGAAAGTTGTTTTATAAAGTAGTAAAAAAGTTTAAGATTTTGTTTGGGATGGCTTTCTAACAGTTTCTTAAAGCAGATTTTTTAATATAAAAATTAAAAATTTTACATTAAGAAGTTACTTCAAAAAGTAAACAATGCCTTAATCACCACCTCCTGTTTTTAGTTTACTTAGTCAAAATATTTGAAGACACAATGTTAAAGAAAGGTAATTGTTATACTTGGTATAACATATGTTGACATAAAATGCCTATTTTATGGTTAATATATAAGCATATAAAAGAGGAACATACAAAATTATGTGGGTTGTTGGTCACAATTGAGCATTATTTTTTGGCCAATGTTTACATGAATAAGCGACATATGTGAAAAAATAAGACTATAATTTATATTAGGATCATAAAAATAACCTCTTTAAAATTATAGGAGGCTAAACATATAATGTAATTTGATGAGGTTTCGTTTGGAACAATTTTATATTACTATTTTTTCTGTTTTTAAGAGATTTTTTAACTATAAATAGCATTACAAAGCAATAAAAAAATCTCCCCAGACAAAGCCAAAGAAAAGTATAAAGAAACAAAAGTTTTTGGTTTCATTTGGGATAATTTTTTTGTTGTTTTCAAAAACAACTTTCTAATACCAAAATTGTTTAATTTAAAAAATTTTATAATAAAAAATCATTTTATAAAGCAGTACCCTAAACTCATATTTTTTCTTTTGCTCTTTTTTTTTTTTGTATAACTTCTATTATCAAATTCTATTGTGTCCTCATATTTATCCCATGCATAGCTCAACCGAATATTTAACATTAAAAATTATGCAGCATTTTTTCGGTATGTGTTCTTAACCTTATTAAAAAATAAATTTACAGATATTCCTATTTATTTTATTTTGAATTTGAATATAAAGGCCCACAAAAAACTTACCAGCAAATGATTGGAAATCAGCATATTGCCTCCCTGACCGTTATCCTCCCGTCGCCAACTCGAAATGGCTGTTCCCAGTCCCCCGCCATGGGCGCCCCCACATGAGCTCGTCTCCCGCCATCCTGCCCTCCACCACCTCCTCTTCTGCAACTCCATGCCGCACTTCCTCCAGATCCACGCTCTCTCAATCACCACCGGCTCCGCCTCCGACAACCTCGCCGCCGCCCGCATTCTCTCCTTCCCCGCCCTCTCTCCCGCTGGCTCCCTCCCCTACGCTCGCCGACTCTTCCTCACAGCCCAAAAAGCCGACGCCTTTATGGCCAATATCCTCCTCCGCGCCTACGCTTCCCTTCCGAATACCAATTCCGCGCTCTCCTTCTTTGTGGAAAGCCTAGAATCCTCCCGCCTCCACCACCCCGACGCCACCACCCTTGCTCTTGCCCTCAAGGCTTCCGCCGATGCTGGCGATCTTTCCTTCGGCAAAATGGTTCACGCGATGGCGCTAAAGCTCGCCCAGGCATCGGATGTCTCAGTTCAGAATTTTTTGGTTCGGATATATGCTTCTTTCCGGTTAATAGAATCTGCAAAGTTGGTTTTTGATAGTATTTCCAACTTCAACGATGCGTCAAGGAATATAATGCTCGGAGCTTATTTGAAATGCGATCTTCTTGATGACGCCCGACAGTTGTTCGATGATATGCCTGTGAAAGGCGTTATCTCTTGGAGTGTCATGATTAATGGTCTTGTTCAGAATAATCGTTTCAGGGAAGCATTGGAGCTTTTCAATAAGATGTTGATGGAGAAGATGGAGCCAAATGAGAGTATTTATGTGAATATTTTCTCTATCTGTGCTCATCTCGGCGCCATTGAGCAAGGCAGGTGGGTGGAGAATTACCTGCTAAAGAAAGATTTTACAGTCACAGTGCGTATTGGCACAGCGATGATAGATATGTACCTTAAGTGCGGTTGTGTGGAGAATGCCTTCAATGTGTTTGATCTAATGCAGGAAAAGAACTCAATGACATGGAGCGCCATGATCACCGGGTTGGCCATCAATGGCCGTGCAGAGGATTCACTCAAGCTGTTTTCATTGATGGAGCTTTCTGGAATTTCACCTAACGAAGTAACCTTCATTGGAGTGCTGAATGCCTGTAGCCATTCGAAGCTCGTCGGTGAAGGAGTGAAGTATTTCAAATCAATGGTGAAGGTTTATAACATTCAGCCAGACGTTCACCATTACTGTTGCTTGGTTGATCTCTATGGCAGAGCAGGAATGTTGGCTGAAGCTGAGGAAGTCATCAAGAACATGCCCATGGAGCCAAACAGTGCAGTCTGGGGATCACTGCTCAATGCTTGCAGAATTCATGAAAATGCATTCTTAGGAGAGAAAGTTGGGAAGAAATTGCTCGAGTTGGAGCCTGAGAACAGCGGTCGCTACGTTCTGCTATCGAACATCTATGCCGGCAGAGGGATGTGGGAAAAAGTTGCAGAGCTGAGGAGAATTATGAAAGAAAGGAAGGTGGAGAAGACACCTGGGAGTAGTTTTATTGACATAAAGGGTGAGGTTCATGAATTCATGGCTGGGGATGGTTCCCACCGTCAAAAAAGAGAGGTTTATGGGAAGCTTGAGGAGATGAGGAGGGAGTTGAAGCTGGCAGGGTACAAGCCAAGGATCAAACAGGTGGTGATTGATATGGAAGAGGAAGAGAAGGAGAGTTCTCTTTATCATCATAGTGAGAAGTTGGCTCTTGCGTTTGGTTTGATTGGATGTGAGAGAGGGACGACGCTTAGGATCATGAAGAACCTTCGTGTGTGTGAAGATTGTCATTTGGTGATGAAGATGATATCCAAGATTTATGGAAGGGAGATTGTACTTAGAGATCGGTGTCGGTTTCATCATTTTAGAGATGGTATTTGTTCTTGTAATGATTACTGGTGACTGATATGATATCCATCCTGTCTAAGGGAGGAGAAATTATTCTGTGCGGACGCCAGATGATTCATATACGAAATCAGAACGTGTCACGTCATTCGTTACACAACAAAAAAATGACGTGCGTGGCGCGTCCTGATTCGCCTCTGAAAAGTATCCATTATCCGATTAGCACAGAATAATTTCTCCTTAGCAAGAGAGGAAGACCAATTGTAAATTTCTTCTGAATTTGAGCTCATTCCTGTTGGGATTTTTGAATATGAAAATCAGAATTTCATGAATATTATTTACCTTGTCATTATTGTTATCATAGGATTTATGTACACACCACAGAATTTTTAAATATTAACATATATAACATTTAAATCTTTATATTTATTTTTAATAAATAAACCTAGAATTTAAAGATTATGATGTTACAACAACAACACTATTTGACTACATGAATATTTTTGTCTACATTGCAAATAAATGATATAAATTATGATGATGCTATGTGAATAAATATTAAAATTTAGGTATTAGATATAAAAATAATTAAGAATTTATTAGTGTTGATGCAAACCTTTCTTATAATTTGTTTTCTAAGACTGGTCTTCAAAAATAAATGAAGTCTATTGCTTTTTTTTTTTAAGTTATGACAGCAAAAATTGAAAAAGCCAAGTCATGACAAATGAAGCCTACATAGCCTCAATCTACAACAAAATCTTGTTCATATAATAATATTATTTTAATTCAGTCAATCTTTAGCAATCAATACTGAATGTAATCCAAAGTTACAGCTAACTAATCAGGTCTGATCTCCCTAATGAAAAAAAATAAGCCCTTACATGGATCATATATGATCAGGAGAGAGAGAGAGAGAATTATGATTGTTATGTGGAGTTTGAGCTGAATATAAGAAGACAACCATTACAATAACAATCAGTGTTCTTTAGTATTAAGATCCAAAGTGCAGGATCCAAAAACACAGCATCCACTTGGGACATGGAATCCTTCCAAAACTTAGGCTTCATTTGGAACATTTTTCTTACTACTTAAAGCAACTTTCTAACTGCTTTAAAAAACAGTCAAAAAGTCATTCCAAATAAAGCCTTAATACCATATGAAACATATGAAACTTCAGAACTTCATGAAGCTCGGGATATCAACATACAAAATGTACATATGGGTATGCACACAAAAAAATATTTAAAGCGCAACGGTCACAAGCTGGTGACGGTTAACAAAAGGCCATAGTGATCACTGGGTAAGACAGGGAGCTCCATCTTCACCATCTGATTTCTCACTTTCTTCTCCTTGTCATAGGAAAGGCCTGGTATAGCCTCTGTCCCAATCATCTCGATGCCATCGATCCTAAAGTCTTTAAGGCTGCACACGAACCGATCAAGTCGCTTCTGCAAAGTGCGATTACCAGATAACATCTTATTGGATTTGGTGTCATAAGTCCATCCATTTTCACCTGGTTTTTTAACCATCCAAGCATCAACCCAACCATCAGGAAGAGGAAAAGCTCCATCCAATTTGTCATCCCAGTTCATATCGCCGACGAAGATTGCATTGTTCGAGTCTTTTAGTAGAATGAGAGATTGTTTTGCCTGAGCAACTCGTTCAACACTGTACATTTGATCCCATTTGGGAGGGGCAGGACAAGGACTCTCCAGATGGCTTGTAGCAATCACAAGCCGTTTGCCTGAATTAAGTTTGATGTCAGCTAAGCAAAGTTCTCTTCCCATAATGGAGTTTGCAAACTGTTTACATTTGAATGTCTCCACTGGCAACTTACTCATCTGTAGTTAGCAACGTCACAGATTCAGCAATGTAATAAAATGATAAAAGCAAGGAAAAGTGATAAACTGCCAAAGGTTTCAGATTGCAGATATTAAAAGAGTTCATGTGCCCGGTGTGGTTGGGTGGTATTTTAGGGAGAGTTGGAGTTTTGTTTTGGAATAACTTCCACGAGTAAAAGACCGGGCTACATAAAGCTCAATGCAGAAGTAAAAGGAAATGACAAAATGCAAAAATGCGATGACAAAAATGATGAGGACATCGATCCAAGGTTCAAACAGGTGTATCGCCGGAAGAATCACAGATCGACGGCCACGATTCAGAGCTTATATTTTAGTTATTATGCATTTTATTTTATGTATTCCTTTTATACCCTTATGTTGAGTTGAGTCATGTTGGGGCCTTGAGGGCAATTTAGTCTTTATTTCTTCTTGTATGCTTGAGACCTATATATATGGGTCTTTTCTCTTGTAATAGCTAATGAATATTTTGAATGAAATTTGTGTTTTATTTCTACTTCGTCTTGCATGAGTGCTTGAGGAGGAGAAGCTCAAGGTGAGCAAATCGCAAGGCCCACCAGTCGTCGGAAGAGTCCGCAGCTCGTGGTTAAGTTATTATCTTCTCGTTGTGCTTCGTTCATCTCCTTCCCCCTCCCATTGAGATCCAACCGGCCGAACCCGTACTTTGCCACCACCCCTCCTTGGAGCCCGCCGCCCACCACCTCACATTCCCCGCCGACCTCCTTGCCGGCAACCCCCTCTCTCCACCCGTCATCCCACCACCCATCCAAGTTTCCAATTTGAAGTTTGAATTTTCAAATTTCAAAATCTTTCATAATTTGGAATTCCAAATTTGGAAAGTTTTTATGACAAATTTAATTTCAATTTAAATCAAATTGAAATCTTTATTCCATCGCCACATCATCACCTCCAATTGGAAACCTAGCTCTCCACTAAATTCCCTCTCCTCCTCCTCATCTTGCCGCCGGCCCTAGTATTGGCTCCCCCCATTGATTGCCCCATTTAATGCTACCTCTTATTTGAAATTCAAATTGATTTCAAATAAATTTCCCCTCCAAATTTAGTTAATCCTGAATTTAATTTCAGGATTGGAATTAATCCCTTATTCTTCCCCTATTGGCCGCCGGCCTTGATTGGGATTAATGCCCATTAATTGCCACTTTATGGCATTGATCATATGAGGTTTGAAATTCAAATTCTAAGTAACCTCCCTCCTAATTTAATCAAAATCTGAATTAATTTCAGATTTGGTTAGATCTCTCCCTCTCCCCTCATCTAAACCCAATTCCTCCTCCCATAACCCGCCGCCCCTCCCCTTCTCCCACCTTGGCCGATCCTCTCCCCATCCTCCTTGGGGTGACTTCGAAAATTACGGGTGGACTATTGAAAGCACGCCGTCCGTGTGTCCTCCACCACCGGCAACCTCTCTGTGGCTCAAGACCCTTGGCATTGCAACCTTCCTCGTGGCATCGTTTGGTGTGCTGAAAATCTTCTCCCGCTAAGCCTAGTTTAGTTGAGTGGTTAATCCCCAAGGTGAACTTCTCGTTATTAAATTACGGATTGTTGTTTAATAGCTTTTGGTGTTGCTACTATCGTTGTTTATCCATGAGTTTTGGTCAATCTACGCATACTTCTTCGCCTAAGCTAGTTAATAACACGATTTCTTTAATGATTTTCTTGCTATCTCAATAAGATATTAATTGAAATTACGTTGTCATTCACTTTTAATTTTCTTAAGAAGCTCCTTGCATGTGGTATCACATCAAAAAATCAAATAAGCGAATGAGGCAAATCAATAAGCAAGTACTTAAAATCTAAATATACTCTTTTCTACCTAAGCTTTTCACATGAATTCTGTATCTTGCTGGTTGGCTACATTAATCAATTTTCTTCATTATTTTCTATTCAGAGACAAATTTTTATTTAAATCTAATAAAAAAAAAGTCATTTCTAATATTTTCTAACCAAGTCTTTTTAGGTCTTCCTCTATCACTTTTAACATAGGCCAAATCTAATTCAATCTAGCTCTACCTCTCTTAACAAAGTCTACATTCTTTTGATCTATGTTTCTTTTTGTTGTTGTTGTTGTTGTAAGTGATGACAATTAATTTTGCACATTGCTTCCCTTGATCAATATCCAAGAAAAATAGTTTAGTCTTATTAATAGATTTATAGATAATCTTCCAATTTATTTTTAATAATTTGTTTGGTGCAATTATTTTTAAGTAAAGTAAAATCAGTAAATTATTATAAGATAAAAATATAGTTAAAGATAGAATTATTCATAGTTAGATTGAATCAGGCCAAATAGATTCAAACATGAAGCAAAGAATTAGAATATTATTAAACAAAACAAAAATATTGCAATAAAGCATTGTTCCAAAGGGATAAAAAACAAAAATGGCTATAGCAGGAGTAACGCAATCAGAAATCATATGTATAATAAGCAAATAGAAAACTTAAAAATTTATAATTAGGTCTACACCATTTAGATATAAGCGTTAGAGAATGATTAAGGCAGCTACAGCATACTTGAAGGTAAAAAGAGTGGACTAAACATACAGAAGAATACAGACAGCAGATGATGAATATAATGATATGCATACTACAAATTTTATTGTTCTTAGAAGAAACTTCTAAATTTTTCTATCTAATTCTTCATTTATTCATTAGAATCTATGAGTCATAAAGAATAAATTTAAATAGAAGATAAAGTACATATATCATAACCTTCAAATACTTTTATTGTCAAAACATATGACATGTCATTAGAAAAATTTCAAAAGACTTGTAGTTGATATTCTTTTTACATAAGCAATTTAAAACTTCAAAGTCCAATGTAAAGATTATTTTTACATATATCAAATTTCTTCAAAATTTTTTGAATTGCTCAATAACATATCTATTAACGGTAACATTTCTTATGACTCCTATAACACGTCTTGATCATAAAAAGATGGCATAATACAATCTAAGCGTGAAAAACTAATCTAGGTGTTCCAGCAAGCTAAATATGAAGAGCAAGAAAAGTTCACGCAATCTATACATAAAAAGAAATGCCTAATAAAGAGCGACAGTCACAACAATATAATTAAGTTTCAGTTTTTTTAGTAAGTAAAAAAAAGAAAAAATACTGGATTTTTGTTCTTCTTATTGATTCAAAAAACTCAAAAGGCAAAAAAAAAAAAAAAAAAAAAAAAAAAAAAAAAAAAGAAAAGAAAGAAAAAAACTTTTAATTGATATAGTTCCCACATGCAAGGAGAAATGCTTAATACTTATTATAATCTGGATATGTGAATCTTAGTTTAGAATATAAGAAAGATTTCTATCTCCTAACAATCTAACTTAAAATATTAATAACTTCTAACCATTTAAATTCCATCATCTAAACTATCCGGTTGTTTATTTTGATGAAGTTTGGGTACAAATATTCTAAATGCATGCGTTTTAAAAATTAGCAGATTAGTTTTGCTGAGGGACAAATTCAATGTAAATTTTAGTGAACTTGAAACCCACTCTTAAGATCAATTTTGAGGTGTTTCAAAACCACTCGGTTTTGACCGATTTTCGAATACATCGCTTATATGTTGCCACCCGCTATCACATTGGCTCGGCCGATCACCACCGTTAACCTACCATCACCACAGACCACTCGTCGCCAGCTGATCACTACCGTAATTATCATTGCCTCCGGTGATTTTCACTGGCAGCTACCATAGCCGAACTTCATATTAAATTCATTTTACTTCAAATCAAAGACAAAATTATTCTCCTGAATTTACTTTACACTCAACCAAATAACTATAAATATTACAAATACAATAGCTTTACATTTTATCGAATTTCTTTTCATCCTAAATTCCTTTTTCAACAAAAAAAATAGTCCCTAAGATAATTATTTCTTTGATTTTTTTGGTACTTCTAAACCATCAATCCTTGGCTAATATTTTATTTTTTCAGGTATCACTTACAATCTTTTCTAAAAAGTTTTAAATTTTTATGTTCACTTGATAGTCTTCTCACTATTGCAAGATTATATATACACACCTTTCTTTCATATTCGATAACCATGAATCCTATTGTAACTCATCTTACTAGAATCTCCAAGTAGATTTAAGTAAACTCTATCAATACTTCTAATCACCATTTATATACTCAATAGTCCATCCACTTCATAAAAAAAAAATCTCATCTAGTTTAGCATAACCACTCACCCCATTTTTTTTCATGAATCAAATGTAAAAATATAAAGTTAAATTAAATACAAACACATTATTAAACTCCCAGAGAAAACAATAACTTCAAAGAGAAAGGAACATCAATGACAATAATTATAAAACAAATGAATTAGTAGCCCCATGGAAAAAGATGAGTGCACAAGAACATTCATGCAAACCGACATAAAATGATAATCCGACCACTACAATAACCTGCATGCAAAAATATGGCCTCTCAGCTATCATGTCCTGAGATACAGAGCAGCGATATGACTTCCACCACTTAGAGCTTCGGAAGATATCATAGATATTTGGTGTAACCTCCTGAAAGGTGTTCGAAACAGTTATTTCACAACTAAATGCCATTTCTGGAATAAATTATTAAAGGAGAAGGCACTAGTAACATTGATAAAGAAGGCTGGACCTGGAAGCAAATGAAATCTGGTACGTGCACCAGAATAAGATTTCCAAGGGCTTCCATCCTCCTATGAACTTCAAGGTCTTCACGGAACCAGACATTATAGCTCATAATTTTTAACACCTGTGGATTTGAACTAGGATCACCATTACCTGCAAAACGAACTCACATATTGCTCAAAGGTTAAAAAGATTGCAAGAAAATTTATCATCACATATCTGCATAAGAAATCTAAAACCATTGTATAAAGTACAGCAGGTATATATCAATAGCAACACAGGTAAACACCATTAATAAAAAGGTTTTTTTTTTCTTATATAGCAGGACCATCTATCTTAATTATATATATATATATATATATATGACAGCCAATGCTTAGACATTACAGATCCAAACTCAATTTTCTCCATATTTCAAAATTGAAGCTTAATCATCTCAAACCATGTGATAAACATGTTGGGACTTGAAATTTAATCAAACCATGGACCTGTGATATGCATTCATCCATTCTTACATGGACACTAAACATAAAAAACCATGCATCCTTTTCTCATCTATTAATTTACCAACTACCACCATAGAATGCTTCCATAAAAAGTTAGACTGGAAGATTTAGGTGTGGTGCAGGTAGCTACACTAGTATGTGGTGATATAGATAAAAGCATTTAACAACCACGTGATAAACATGTTGGGACTTGAAATTTAATCCAACATAGTGGCAGTAGTGATCCTTTAAAAAAAATAAAGCTACATTGTGGTTATACAACCATAATTTTTGCAGTTAACTAGGCAACCTGCCATCAAACATTGTCGTAAATCATGCAGGACTAGGAAAACTCTCCACTCATTCAAACTACAATCTCTCTCAAACAAAAGGCATAAATAGGGTGATTCAGGAGGCTCAACGCATAGAAAGAAGCATGAAATTTTCATAAATGGTAAGTTTGTGTGCATGACAACACAAGAAGCCAGGAGGAGAAAATTCTAAAACCTTCGAAACAAGAGATAAAAGTAGAGATAAGGAGCAATTTATAATGCAATCCAAGATTCCTTCAAGGGGAGGCTGATAATCTACCAAAAAGAGGCTTATTACCCTTCAAATTTGATAAAGATTGATTATCCGCTTTTGAAGAAGGAACTTGATTCAAAGGTTAGTTGCTTAAATCTATGAGATAATAAAAATTATCCTTCTTTCTTAATTGTATTAGACTAAGATTTTCAACCTAAAAAAAAAAACTATCCTACCTAGTAAATCAATTATATTCAATTCATTCGTGTTGAAACCATGTAAGTTATATTCTATAATTCCACTCTCTAGCTTTCTCTCTCAATCTCTTCCTATATGTGCCCAAAGCCTTTTCCCTTCTCCAAATTTCAGACATAAGGGTATTCTGTCTCTAGTATGACCCTAAGCAGCTCTCTCCCTAAGACACCACCTTATCCCTCTATTCCCTCTACAAGCAAATGGTGTGAGAATAAAAAATTATTAGATGTGCACTACATACATATGACTATAGGTTCCAATTAGGTGGAGTACACAACTAAATATCCCAGCCTTCCGTACGTAGAGGTATGTACATAGTCCAAATGACGGGCAATTTCGATGCAAAAGTAGGTATCAACAAAGAAAGAACTAACAAGCTTGAAAGAGAATTCAACATAGAGACAATAAAATAGAGTGGATCAATGACAAATCTAAAGGAAAGGGCGGTCCAAGGCTTCAATATAAGGAGATACTTTTAAGAAGGTTTACATAATGTTCCATCTCTTCTAGTTTTGTCTACTAGTGCTATTAGAAACTTTCTTTAGTGCACAATCCTTTTGATTCATCAATTTTCTTACAATTCCAGTTAAACTTTTTCCTGCAAGAAGGATAACCTATAAAAAAAAAGGATAACCCAATTAGGGTATCTTGTGATAAAGGTCGACTATTAATCCTATGAACCCATCCTATTTCCTTAATTTCATTAGATCAAGACTAGAATTGTAGCATTAGTCCTTAAAAATCTCTTACTGTCTAGGATTAAAGAAAATCTTTGGAAGCACCATTGATCCTTACAAAATAAAAACATAATGTTTGTGTAGACATAAAGTCAGCATTTTACTGCAGGAAAAGCTCGGGATACAGAAACTTAAACATGCTGGGTACCATTAATCTTTAAAAAAAAAAAAAAGAAAAAGTACCATAGTATTGATTCATTGGATCTTTTTTAGCTTCGTTACCGGGCATCAGAACCTACGGGTAGCTGATAAAAAAGCCTCAGATTACAGAAACTTACACATTCATAAGAGGTAAATTCTACAAGAAAAAAGAACGAACTTTCGCTTGTATATAAATATATATATATATATCTTTTAAATGAATGAAAACTTAGAAAAAATACATGGAGGCACACCACTGCGGCCATTAGAAACCAGTAATTTCTTAAAAGCCATGATTGGCTCAGGAAATTCTCTAAGAGAGGATCGCCATACACGAAGAGAAAAAAAAAAAAAAAAAACTCACATATTTGACATAAAATACTTCTTGCATTAATGGAAACTCGGACATCTTAAAAACCGATAGGTTCGCAACTACATATCAATAAAACTTAATAGCACAAGACCGGATTCGGATTATCTCCATGTGCAGTTCGGATCCCACCATCGCATGCAATTTGGATGACTAAAAGATTGTTAAAAACACTTTAAATGGCGACGGCCATTTTCTCAACATTCACAGCCATTCAACGTATTGTATGGCAGAGATGTAGAGGGATCGAATCCGAGCCCTGGTCACGCTTGAAGTTAATTCCTTGCTTTCCCTACTTTATATGTATAATGTTTCTTAAAAATACAAAGCGTTCGGCAAGGCATCAAGTTTTCGGTTTTCTCAAGCATCCCTTGCATATGCAAAAAACAATAATAAAAAAATAAATACACATCGTTCAAATATCTTCAAGAGTTAATGATTAAAAACAGATTTGCCTGAGAGCACCAAATGTTCTTCTTTGTCACTCCTCGCCAACTTCTCCAAGGGTCGGACATCGGCAGCAGCTTCTACGGGCGCGGGCCGCTTGCTTCCGCAGCGCTGGAGCGGGAGGAAGACCGATCCTATGGAGGAATCGGCGGCGGAGAGCTCGTCTGGGTCGAGACAGTCGCCAAGGAAACGGGAAAACGGCGCGGCCCGAGTGCCGCAGACCTCGCAGAAAGCTCTTCCGCTGGGGTTCAGGAAGGTGCAGGCCGTGCAAGGCCATCTTCCTGGAGAGACGGAAGCCCCAACGGAGAAAGTGCTTCCCCCGCGACCGCCGGCGGTGGAGGTGGCGGTGGCGGTGGAGGTTGGGGAAAGGCACATCTGGCAGGAGACTTTCTGGGAGGAAGGGTTGAGGAATGTGCAGCGGGAGCAGGACCAAGAAGAAGAAGAAGAAGAAGATGAAGAAGGAAGAGAAGAAGAAGATGAAGAAGGAAGAGAAGAAGAAGAAGAAGACATGTACACTGTAGTTCTTGAACGAGGATGATTCTTTAGAGGTAGAAGGTAACGAATTAAAGCCCTAGTGAGCAATGAGGTCATTTGAGGACTGAACTTTTCGGAAGAAGAGCGGAATCCGTCCGCGCCGGCTCACCAGACCAAGAAATCTGATTCGACTATTCGAGGTCGGCGACGGCGACCATGACGTTTGGAAAAAAAAAAAAAAAAATTTAAATACGTATTAATTTTATATGTTTTTTTAATTATATTTCAATATTCTTTATCATTTTAATTATATATAAATATTAAATTATTTTTATTTACCCATAAATTAAAATTGAAAATTATATAATTTTATTTCATTTAAATATGATAAAACTATCACATGCTAATTTTTCACTATGTTTTTATCATAGTTAAATTAAATATATTCTGATTATTTTTATCCCGTTTAGAGCTCAACTGATTTGAATATTGAAACTCTTTTCTCAAAAATTTGAATAATGTTTAACTTATAGGGGCTGTTTGGTAGCAGGATTTAGGCTGGATTTGAGGAGGATTTAAGCAAAATCCAGCCAAACGGCCTAAAATGCAAAACCAAATATCACGGCAAAGGAAATCCTCCCTAGACGGAAAAATCCGCCGATTCGCTCTAAATTGGGGATTTCCTAATCCTGACTTTTGCAGGATTTACGAAATCCATGATGCTAGAGGAAGAATCCACTCAGTAAATCATGTGTTGTAGCCAAACAGTCATATGAGATTTAAGAGGATTTATCATGAATATTACCAAACAGTTTTCAAACTGCCCTCCAACTTTCAAGTTGCGAATGTTTCAAATAATTTTCTTAATATTTTCTAAGACAATTTTTTTAGTTTGAAAATTATTTGAAATAAAAATTTTTGTATTGAAAAAATAATAAAAATTATCCCAAATGAAGCTTAAAGAAAAATAAAAAAACACTTAAAAATTCAAATGATGATAAAATACAGCAAGTATGAGAGTTAGGCTTTCTTATTTTTTGTTAATGTTTACGAGTATGATTATGACAAAAAGCTTAAAATATCGAGTGTGCCTTATCGTTACTATCGCCTTATGAACAATTCCGTAAATCAAGAAAGACAATCCAATCCTTTCACATAAAATAAAAGCCTTGCTATTCCTCAAATATTCATTACTTTCAGATGGATAAAATTATAGCAACAGATTGAGTAGGAAAGATTTTGGCATCATTTGAAGCTTTTTTTCTTATTAATTTCTACAGTAATTTATTAGAGCAAATTTTTTTTTTTTAAAATAACAAAAATAATGATCAAAATCTATCCCAAATGATTATATTTAGAAATCTTTTTCCAAATTCAACCAGTATATATTTTCTAACAATGGAACTTGGGATATATTTTCTAACAATCGAACTTGCTTTAAAAATACAAGAAAAGGTTATAATAACTCCAATGGAAGATAAGATTAGAGTCAACCGTATGTCGCCGGCCAAAAGATTAATAATTTATAAACAAATTATTTTTTGAAATTTAGTGATTTTTTACATAATTAATTTATTTAAAACACATTTTATTTAGGACATTTATATTCAAAATTTAATTTATCGAGCAAAACATATATATTTTTTTAAAATTATAAATAAGTCTAATTCAAAAAAATTGATAAATATAAATCTATGATTAGAAATACATGTAAAATAAACTATGGGAAAGAATATACACAGAATATTTTTTTTTATGAGTTTTTCAGTTCTTTAGGGAGAAATTATTACGTGCGATCACCGGACGCTGTCCAGAGAAGAATCAGAAAATGCGCCATATCATCATTTGGCTATGTACCGGATGAAATGACACATCCTGATTAGACTCCGAATAGTCTGTTAACCGCACGTAATAAACCTTGCAAGGGGAAAAAAAGATGGCCGACTACACATTCCCACCTAAATTTCAAAATTTTTATGGTTCAGGAAGGCTATATTTAGAGAAGATTGTTAATGCAAAACCTCATGAAAATTATGAATTAAAGCTTTCTAACTGCCAACTTACGCAAACATGGAATTCTTACGATATGTACCTTGACGCAGAAATTATACTATAAGCCATCTCTATTTGTCCTTCATATTAGAAATCTTCAGGGAATACCTCTTGGAAGAACTGGTTCAGGTCTCCTTTAGAGGTATCGAAAGCTAGCAGCTTAGTTGCTGCATCCTGCAACAAAGGCGTGAGTAGAGTTATTGATTAGTGTAGATGTTTCGGCTGTGATTGGATGCTGCAGATTTGAGTGAAAGGAAATAAAAGAAATAGTTGAAAAGCTAAATCAATTGCTGTAAATTCATAATCAAAATATACTTTGATCAAATTTCATTTCATTTCCTTGGCTTTCTTTATATCCAAAATTCCAAATAAACTTATGGTACTAGAACAAGCAGATTTTGTTTCATGAAAAATACGACAAGAATAAAAGATTTTACATTTCATTTTATGATTTTCATCAGAATTGTGTTCATTATTGATACGACATCACAAAATTAGCTTGATCGGGCACGAATCTCAAGGCAAAAGCTAGTTGGAAACTTTAAAAATTAATTCCCGGAGCACCCGAACTCCGATTTCAGCGAGCTTACAGTCAAACTGAGCGTCTCGGAAATACGAACCCAACGACACCAAATTCGACCCAATCCGAGCCCAAATGGGTACAAATCAAGGATCCGAAGTGCTGTTGAAAGGTTCAAACCGCAATTTGAGTTACCAAATGGTCTCCAATTTTAACGAGCTTATACTCGAATCGAACGGCTCGACGAGACGAATCCAACAAGCCCAAGATCGCCGAATTCCGACATCATTAAGGCCCTCAAATGTCCAACGAACGGTGCATGATCAAAGGGTTCAACATCAACCGTCAATTCGACCACTCCCTATTCGCCCCTGATCTCACACCTATTTACAAGCCACACCACTCCAGAAAATCTATAAATAAAGCCCTCATTCTTCACAAGAGAAAAAAAAAGGGAAGAGAGAGAAGAAGAAGAGAAGAAGAGGAGAAAGGGGAAAAGGAGAATCTTCTCCTCCTCGACCACCGCCGGAGTTCATCCTGCCGCCCGAACACGCCGGGATTCTGCGTGATATTCGGGAGAAAGCCGGAATTCTGCCTAACTTCCACCTGACGCTGAAATTCTTCCCAATTAACAACAGAGTTCCCTCCTAACGCCGAAACTCCGCCCAAGTGAAACCGGAATTCTCCTCCGCCACCAACAGACGTCGGACTTCTACCCGACGTCGAACCTTCACTCTTCTCCAAATTTCTACCCGACGTCAGACTTCTACCAGTTATCGGACTTCGCTGGATGTCTATGCGAAGATGGATTTCTTTACTTTGTTGGACTTTTACCTGACGTCGTCCTTCTAATCTTTGTCGTCAGACAACTATTCTTCCGACCTCCGTCGTCAGCCGACTACGATCCTCATGACTTACATTGCCCGTCTACTACAGTCCTTCCGACACATGTTGCCCGTCAACTACAGTTCTTTCGACCTCCGTCGTCCGCCGACTACGGTCCTCCTGACTTATGTCGCCCGCCGACTACAGTCTTTCAGACCTATGTTGCTCGCCGACTACGGTCTTCCTGATTTACGTCGCCCGCCGACTACAGTCCTTCCGACCTCCGTCGCCAGCTGACTACAGTCCTTCTGACTTACGTCGCCCACCGACTACAATCTTTCTGACCTCTATCGTCCGTCGACTACGGTCATCCTGACTTATGTTGCCCGTCGACTACAGTCTTTCCGACCTCTGTCGCCCGCCGACTACGGTCCTCCTGACTTACGTCGCCCGCCGACTACAGTCCTTCCGACCTCCGTCGCCAACCGACTACGCTCCTTCTGACTTACCTCGCCCACCGACTACAAGCCCTCCGACCTCCGTCGCCCGCCGACTACGGTCCTCCCGACCAAACGAACATGTCAATAGTGATTCTTTGTATTCATATCATGTAATGTACTCTATAAAATGTACATCAAGCTAAGGCCTTCTCCCAAGGAAGGGCCTCATTTGTAATCGACTGCAGTACTAGTGGATTCATTCAAACTGGGCTACCCCGTGGTTTTTCCCCCTTTTCAGGGGTTTTCCACGTAAAAATCTTGGTGTCTCATAAATGATAGACCCTCTCTCTTATCTGATTGCGTACCGGATTTTCGTATAACGCTAAGATGATAAACTTTATATTTCTCTACCGCCGTGAATACTCTCGGATGCAACAATTATATTGGGCTCTTAGAAAATGCTGATATGGATCAATGTTTCTTATAGAGATTATACCTTGTACTGCTGATCTTTGGCTACGATTTTCTGATCAAGGAAGCGGCTGATAGGCTTATCATACTGGATTGTGTCTAGAATATAAGTTGCTCTTTCAACAATTTCCTGAGGTACACCTAAATTACAAAAATATAAAATGTATTTTGCAATGTCAGAAGCTGAATTTAAATCAACTGAAAGATGTTCAGCTGAAGTTTTTTCGTTTGCCAAATGCCAAAATCCACTTGAATAGAATGCATAGCTTCTATGCCAACTGACGTACAGTATTTTTTTTTTTTTTCAAAATGCAAGAGGCTGCAACAATGGTGAATTGCATAGAACTGCAAAGCCAAGTAACTCAAATACATGATATGCAGCAAATCTCAGGCCTTTTTAGGCTCAATTTCTGATTTGGTTAAAAAAAAAAAAACAGTAAGAAAATAAAAAATAATATGTTTTTTGTATTTTTAAAATCAGATGTTTTTGAATTCTAGAACAGTTTTCATCTAGGTGAACGCCTTTGCTTTCAGTTGGAATCGAGAGGTCTGTCATCTTCATGGTCAGTAACAATAGTAACCTTGAGGGGAGGCCATTGTAAAAGACCTTAAAGGTGAAATTGTGCTTTGCGGGAAGTAACACATGGGCCTGCTTTTGGAGGGTGATCTCGCCTCCATAGTTGGCGATGATAATGAGGGTGAGATTGGAGATATTATAGCCACTGTAGACAGCGAGACAGATGTTGACGTTGGCTTAGGGAGGTTTTGCTGGGCTTTGGAAGAAGATGGTAAGCCGCAAGGCTCGTGAGCTGAGAACGGGGGCGGAGGAATGAATGGGGCTTGGTAATGGAAAACCATGATTGCAAACACATCAAAACTTTGCGATGGTTCTAGCCAGCAGAAGGACCAGAATGGAGGCAATAAGGTCTTTTGATAGTTCACCAACTGCTACAACAACAACAACAACAAGCCTTTATCCCACTACGTGATCCAGGACTTGGGACCTGGCAATGGCAGTGTTAATAGTTCACCGACTGCTAACCTTAAATTTTCCTTTCCCTTCCTAAACTTCTATAATGACGGCCATATGGAAAAAGTTGTGTGACAACAATGGAGTCACGAGGGAGAAATTATTCTGTGCGGATACCGAACGACATCTAGAGACCAATAAAAATACACAATGTCACCCTGCGACTCGGTACTGCTAAGTACTCGGTACCGGTACCGACCTTCGGTACCGCGGCATCCGCACATAGAGTTGCGTCATGCGTCCGCACAAAATAATTTCTCGTCGTGGAGACCATGACCGGAAAGAATGAAGAAAGTATTTTGCGCGGACGCCGAACGCTGTCCGGAGATCAATCATAATGAGCCACGTGGGTAATGCGGCTCGGTACCGCTCGGTACTACGGCTCGATATCGTGCTCGGTATTTCTGACGTGACTCATTCTGGTTGGTCTTCGGATGTAGAGCTGCATTCGGCGTCCGCATAGAATAATTTCTCGGAAAGAAAGAACAAAGAATTTTAGGAAACGGGTGTTTGCTTATATATATAATATAAACAAATTATTTTAATTTCAACTGAAAAAATTAAAAAATAAAAAACAAGACAATTTTAAAACGAAACAAAAAGAATTGATCCCAAATATGCTCTTAGTATATGTATTAGATTAGCAAAATTAAGACGGTAATAATGAACCATGGTGATTCTGCAAGAGAAATTGAGAAAAAGCACCGTACCGGCGAGACGGGCACAATGAATACCTACATAGAACACAGTTATGGTCAGGCAAAAGTCTGGCATGTAATATGATATAAGGGATATCTGCACGCACCATAACTCATAAGTGCATGCCCAGGAACAAGCCTTCATAGAAAAATAAAACAGAATCAGCCGTGGAAAATCAAAATTATGCCATAAGGAAGCTTTGTCATAGTATAACTTCCCAATGGGGTTGAGGGTGAATATATATATGGTGTGGTTCTGTGAAAATCATAGATGGTGCGCTCTCTTTGTGGGGAAAACAAAATTATAAGCAAGAAAGATTGCGTGGTGTACCGATAAAGAAAAATTATGTCATCAACGGTATCTTGGGTTTCATCAGGTCTCAAAATGCTCATGGTGTACAATTTTATTTTTCCAGACTGCATGTGTTTAATAGGAAAAAAATTAGAAAAAACAAAAACAGAAGAAACTGGGATATGATTAATGCACTGACGCCAGAAACTAGCTTGAATATATAACCTTTGGTAAGAAAGTCTCACTAAATATTTCTGTCAAGTGTGTACACACGAACACCTGTGAAACATCATCGCATGCTAGAATTACACAGGAAATAATCATATTCAAATAAGAACAGATGATTTGGTCATTATATTTTGGAATAAAAAGTCACAAGACTACATAGACAACACAATTTGTATTTTGTTAACTACTAAGAAAGAACGATAGCATTTGTTTTCCTTACAGCATTGGCATTAAAGAACGGCGCCACCAACATTAATATCAGAAGATAAACACATTAATTAATAAAGAAGGGAACATTTAAAAGAAGTCAACCATGCCAATATTTCTTATCTCTACATGAAAAAATAAATATTTGCTAGATTTTCATAACAAGTGACATTTTCAAGTGATATCGTAAATGCCTAAAGAGAATACTCAAGCAGTCATGTAGCTTCAAAGCAATGGCAGAGTCAGAAATGGGGTGGGGCACATATTATAAATTTTAAAAATATCTTCAAAATTTTTCATCTGGGGGCTTGGGACCAATAATAACAGCTTTAAATTTTTTTTTTAGTTGTTAATATAAAAAAATAAATCATATAATCATCTGGTATGATTAAATAAAAGAGTAAATACATTTTAACAATATAATAATACATTAAAAAATAAATAGCAATTGAAATAAAAAAAATTTCATGCAAGTATTTGTTAATGACTTATGAACACCTTTAGATAACAGTTAATCATTTGTAGCAGATAGGCTTGTAGCATAGTTAAAAGGTTGGTTTTGATAGGATGGTCGGGGGTTTGAAACCAAGGGATTACAACATTTTGTAAAATGCAGGATGTTTGATCACTTGGAGCCATTACATATTTACCTAGCAACTATTTATCAAACTATGTATGCCATTAGTATCCTATAACTTGAAAGTTCGTTAGGATTGTTAAGCTCTTATAAATGTCAAGAGTGCATTTTTAAATGTTAGGGTTTGCAACATAACTGCCGTACGGGATTTATTCTAACCTTTGGGGGATGCACATAGTTAGCAAAATGATCTATAGCACCTCCAAGTAGCCCAATACCATCTGTATTAAGCAAGTTCAACATTATGGTAACAAGGAAACAGACCGCACAGCACAAAAGAACACTAACCTTCTGTTAAAGTACCCTTTCCAAATTCATCCAATAAGCACAAGGATCTTGGTGTTGCATGCCTGTGAAGATCGTAGGGAACAATTAATAATAAACAGCTAAGGTAGACAAAAGTATGACCGAGCATTGTACCTAAGCATCATTCCTACTTGATGAAGATCAATCATAAAAGTAGACTGGTCAGATGTCAGTGGCTTGCTCCCCATAGCACAGAAAATCCTGTCACAATACCATGGCTTACTGACAAGTCACCAAGATCAAGTTTAAAAATGGAAAACAATATCAGTGAATTTTTTCTAAACAAGTCAGGCCAAACCTGTCAGTCAAGCCAATGATAGCTGCATCTGCTGGCACAAAGCTTCCAATATGGGACAGGAAAACCACCAAAGCTACCTGAATTTGAAGCCGTATACGTGTCTTATCTCTTTTTTTTTTTTTTGGAAAATTTTGGGGCAGAGCCCGTATATTAATCAAAAGGAAATTACAAGTAAAACAAAACCCAGCTCAAAAATAAAACAAAAAATACAATTGAGGAAAAGAGCTGAGAGCAAAAACTGAGAGGACAAAAAAACAAAATTTGTCTCATCAGGGCTCAGGAGCATCTAAAACTGGCACAAGGCAACATTATAATCATAGTATGAGCAGCTCATTGCCTGAACAAACTTGAACTAACCACGGTTTCCATTCGAAAGACCACACGGACGTTCCAGCTGGGTGCAGTTTGCCAGGCCAAAAAACTGGGTCTCAAGCGGGGGAGAGACGAGGCCATCCAGGGGTTGAAAAACATGGTGCCAGTTGACAACATCATCGCCCAGAGACATCAGAAATCCCAGTTCGGTAAGAATAATGGCGAGAGAAGCAAGCAGGGAATGTAGCAGATATGCTATCATAATGTTTCCACTATGAAGCTTTAGCAGAAATGGCCAGTGAGATCTTATGGCAGATAGCAACAGGAGAGCAAAACTTTCTAGCGAATCTTCTATCATTTTTTTTCCCTCCATATAAAATAAACTAAGCAGCAAGTGACAAAAAAAGCAAAAATTCTTATCTTTGGAATTAAAACGCTGCATCTCATCAAAAAAATCAAACAATTGCAACAAAGTAGGCCTCAATACGTGTCTTATCAAATGCTGAACATGTATAATTTCGACTTTTCTGTAATCATAACTTTGCAAGGAGACGTAGGTTAAATTGAAATTAGAGTCAACTCTCATCAATAAAATCCATATCAAGAGACGCATATGTGAAAAGAATTATATGGCCATATCACAACAGGAAATACTTGTCCAAGTCAGGGAATTCTTAAATAAACCCAAAAAAATCCATATGTAAGAATTTCAGCTCTCTGGTTTCTACGAGAATTTTTGCAAAGAATGTATCCACTCTACTGGTATCTATCTGTTGCTCGGAGTATTTTAATGATGATTTTTTTCTGATTTATGATTTTCAGTGGTGAAAAATGGGGGTATAGAACAACTCGTCATTGTTGGGATCAAAGTAATATGATTTTTCCTGGACTTCGAGTAGCACATACTTCTTATAATTGAATTTTAGTTGGTTTCTTAATTCCAATTTCTTGAACATTATAATGTAAAATAAGTAGACTTGGCTGGCGATTAAACATGCCTCAAACTCAAATGGTTTTAGAAGCAAATTCTGAAGGCCTTGACTGGATGACTCCAAAACAAATGGAATGACCCCATTGAAGATGTTTCAAAACGTACTTGCATATACATGGAAGAGGACACTCAACTGCGCATATACATCATATTTGCATATAAATGCGATACTGAATGTCATGTTTAAATGAAAGCCTATGCATCCTATAAATGTATGCAGGAGGTCATTTTAAAATGCAATTGCAATGTCAAATGACATGCTTGAATGAAACTCTCTGCATATTGCAATTGCATACGGGAGGATATTTTGGAGTGTAATTACAATGTCAAATGACAAGTTTAAAACCCTATGTATATTGCAAATGCATGCAAGAGGTCCTTTTAAATTGTAATTATAATGTTAAACGACATGCTCGAATAAAATCCTCTGCATCTTATAAATTGCATATATATTATGAAATACATATCAATGTGTATTTTAATGTGTGAGAGGGGGGGGGGGGGGGGAGGGGTTTAGCATTTTCAGAAGTAGCTAGTGCGCAGGATTTCACTTTAGGCTTTGTTAACACCTTATGTCCGCATGCATGAATATGGATCCGGTGACCTTGTTTACTAGCGTGCTTTCATACGACATTTGCAGATCACGTGCAGTGATAACATTAATGTATAATGTATGGTGAATAACCATTCATGCCTTCAGAGCTAATGCCTTAGCAGTCTCAAGCCTCTCCTGTAATACTCTGTCAATTTTCAAGGGACTGCGATCCTTTGGAGGTTCAATAGTGAGGTACCATAATCTGATGAGACCAAAGGCTCAGTTGATATACAGTTAGATTTCTTTGTCTTAACTTCATCACAAGGCGGTCTCCTCAAAGCATGAATAGAACAAAGCACAAGGTAGTTTTCAATATCCCACCGACATTCTAGTATCTGATATGCATATGGGACATGGAAGCTTCTCCTATAATCATTGACATAACGATCAAGAGCAACTTGCTTCAACCTGCAGCAACATTTGATGATGCATGTGTAGGACATTAGGTTGTGAAGCTTAATCTCTAGATATTTATTTTCCATTCAAATAATACAACGTTTCTCCAGAAGCCTCAATATTTCTGTAGGAATGAGGCATTTTTAACTGATCATAATTTGACTCCACATAATCATTCAACATTATATGATTAGTGCCACAGTTAAAGCCTTCCTCTGATAACATGTTGGTGAGCTTTGTCTTTACATCGAGTTGCCTTTATCCCAACTATCACTATCAGAGTCTCTAAAGTTATCAATTAAATGACTTAGTTGTACTTGCTCAGTAAAACCTTCAAGTCCAATGTAAAATAATCGTGCTTCTTCTCAGTGTTGTTGTTAATTACAAGGGTTTCCTACAGTGACTCGTAGGCGCTTGCATCTGTTGTAGTCCTGTATTTGCTACGATCTTTAGTCCTTTTCGCAAATATCAAGTTGCATGCGTATCTATGTTCACAGAGCACTCACCATCCTTGCAACATATCTACTATAATCACTGCTTGTGGATGTTCGTAGGGAATATTATCATTTGAAGGCAGGTATTGTACGTTCGTTGGCATGTTGATGTGGTCTACTAGCTGGGCTGCATTCATCACTAATTTCTCCCTGTATGTTGATTGGCAAGTTGCTGCAAATGCTTGCATGTCTTCTAGTGTTCATGGGAACTGTCACATGTATTTGCAAGATAGTTGTCATCAGTCGTATGGAGATTATTATATTTGTTACATGTCGACCGCCTTCGCTTGCAAGGGATATACCATACTTGCAGCACAGCTATCATCATTGCTTGTAGGTGTCATGTGGGGAGTATGATCATCTATACATGTTAGCTGGCAAGCTGTTACATCCGTTGTTGATGCTCATAAGTAGGTCAATGCACTTGTTTATCAACTAACACTTGTTGGTGGTAAGCAGGTTATCTTAACTATAACCTTCACTCCATCTCCAGTCATGTTGCATTCTTTATGTGTGATTGTGGGTGAATCACTATGTTGCTGGCAAATTGCCCGCAAGGCGGCTACCGTGCCTCTTTGCAACTAGGCATCACTGATTGCGTGTAAATTGTATATTTTGAACTCATGGCACACATCTTGGTTATCATGTCATTGCATTCATCAACTGCCAACTTCTTCTACTTGTTGAAAGTCAATATATTTGTTCACTGTCAGGTGTAGAAGGTTGTTATGTTTGCATGCAAGTAGAGCACATATCCTCCTCAATTACTGTTGATTATTACTTGGAGTTATGTTTAACATAAGTCCCCTGCTTATTCATTTACATTTGTTTAGTCGAGGCGAGGCTTTTCTTCGAATTCTTTATGACTTGGATTACCATTTAGTATTTGCATATTTAATTTTATTGTGCATTTTAAAGTTTAGGGAACTCCTTATTGTTCAGTTCAAGTTCTGTTCCTTGCATTTGTTCAAATTTGGTCCCTTGTTCACTAAAAAATCAGGCAGCCTCCTGATGTCTTCCCTTTTTAGGGGAAAATTTGGGAGTCTGAGCCTTCTTGCCATGCCAAGAAAGACATGCACGGCTGGTGTCTAATGACACCGCCACCGTAGTCTTCAATTACACCATGCCAAGGAAGGCGTGCATGAGTCTTCGAGGTTTAAAAATACACAAACACCCGCATGGGTCCCAACGAGAGTGATGTATTCACACACGTGATGTCTAAGGATGCTGCACGGGTCAATAAATTTGAACATGATCCTCTTAAGCAGGTAAATAGGAGTCGACAAGGTTCAACAAATAATTATAAAATGCCTCCAAACACTAGCATGGGCCCCCGACAAGCATGTTATTGATACACACATGACATCTAGGGATGCTGAGCGGGTCAATAAATGAATATAGTTCGAGACTGATCCTTCTATATGGATAGGTAGGAGTCGACACGACTCGAATTATCAAACAAATATGTGATCATGGTGTCGACCGGGATATTTGTTTCAATACGTTCATATAAGGCCTTCAAGGCCTCCAACAATGAAAATTCATTCACAATGCCATAATACCTACGAAACCCGATTATATGTCGACAGCTTGACAGAGTCGAAACCTCAATAGAGTCAACAAGGTTCAACCCATGAATGTAATGACCCCATATTTACCCCGATGATGGTAGTGTTGAATGCAGATCACAACCGGATGGATCAATTCCAAATGTTCAAAATCCCAAATGCCCGAAAGTCCAAAAATATCAAAATCATCCAAGTCCAAAAATATTTAAAATTGAAATCAACCATCAAACCACTCAAAACAAAATCCATCAACCCTCCGCAATAGTTTGCCTAGGTGGACAAATTGAAAACTAATTCAGCTCACTAATGTCTGGTTTAGAATATCACTAGGATTCATTTTCAAAATAATCTCCTGCCAGTAAGGACGCGGTACGTGTCCTCTGACCTGTAGTTTTGCCGCCAAATGGCAGCGCAGGATAAACGGTTATGACCCGGGGCTCTCTGAACTGAGTGGTTTTGCCGCTAAATGGCACCACGAAATATCGGTTATGACCAGAGCCAATACGTTCTTTTGCAGCATCAAATCTTTGAGATATGAATCAATAAGATATAATCGATAGGTCATAAAGCCCTCTGCTAGCTAAGGTGGATTCAAATCTATCATCTTAGACAAATATCCACCTCAAGTCTATAAGGTACCCTTGGACGAAGCAACCCATGGCTGTCGACAAGGATCCTTCTATTAGGTTGGTTCGACTACCTCCTTTAACTAAGTAGACAAGGGACCATGATGGTCCAGGACGACGAAACCATAGGATCTTGATCGAGTCCATCATCCATTCCCCCACCATTCGTTTTAAGTGCAAGATGGTGAAATTCCCAATTTTAAATATCAAACCTTTCCAAATACTCATGCCCATGTGCTACTATATACCAGATAACACGCATCTCTACGTATCTGATCTATGAATAGCCTTAATCGAAAGTTCTCTCTTGTTATCAGGAGGGGTAATTAACTATAGGGGCTTGCGCCTATAGGAAACCAAAACTCAGATCATAAAGTCCTCGCAAAATGAGGGCGAAATCTCTGGGTAGTGTCTTTTCTACAATCTCATCTGCCTTCCCAAAATTTATCCTGGAACTTAAATCCGTTAAAACTCCCTTGAAGAAAAGCAGCGGGGGAGGCCGGGGTCGAATTTTCGGAGCCCACATATTCGCTCTCTCTCTATATATTTTTAAACAATTTTATTATTTTTATTATATTTGAGATTTACTTTTAACTAAATTTTATTCTTTATTATTAATATGTCAATTATCACTAATCATTCAATTCATTTTTTAAATATCATAATCTCTCATTTAAATATAAATTTTATTTTATTTCATTATTAATATCTAAAATAAAGTTTATATATTTAATAACTTCTATCTTTAATTAACTATTTAAATATAGTTTTATTTTTTTATACAATTTATCCTAAGTTCATAAATTCATCATTCTTCTAAATTTAATTTATTATTATAACATAAATTTAATCTCATATATGAATTTAAATATGCTCTCTATATATATTAATTAAATTTTATTTTAATGTTAATATTTTCTACGTTATTTAAAAATATAAATTTTAAATTAAACTTCCTTCATTGTATTTATTAATTTATTCTATAAAAATCTATAAATTTTAAACTCTCTCTCTAAAAGCATAGAAAAATTCTCACTTTCTCCCTACACACTCTCTTTGTCTCTCTAAAACAAAGAGATTCTTTCATCTTCCTTTCTCTCTCTCACTCTCCCTCTCCTTCCATTTTCTATTTCTAAAATATGGGTAGGTTCCTGACCAAGCACAATAATGAATCTTATCCTTATTAGCTAAAACAAACCTTAAATCTAATAAGAGCCTGAGACTTGGCAAGCATAAAAATGATGCTTGTTATAATAGCATATCAAAATGTCGCCAAAAAACATTGTTAGAGAAACCAATGCTATTTAGATGAGCACGCAAGTAATATGTGAACTAAAAATGACCTGTTAATATACAAAAACAATAATTTTATGTTTCAGTAGTCAGGTCTTTGAAATCAACTATAAAATATCATGTAAATAACATGTTTGACCTGTTTAACATATATGCTTTTTCCGGAATAGTTTGGGCCACTGATGATATTTATCCTTCCTGTGAAAGATAAAACACCTAATGCATAAAATTCAAAAACGATATCTTTCCCTAAAAGTAGAAGTTCTTCAATAATTACCATCATGAGATATCTTTGTATCATTTGGAACAAAAGTGTCCACTGTCAATTCCTGCAAGACATGCCTGTTTGAGAACAGACTTAGTTGCACTCCATTTAATTAAAAAAGTATGTTCTCAAGTCAACAAGCAAGAAGGGAAAAAAAAAGTTTTAATTTAAACATGTAATCCTAATAGTTTTAATTTAAAAACTAATTTCACAAGAAATTAAGCAGGCTGTGATGATAGCAATGAAAAAGAATAAACCTTAAATTCAAGATGAGTTTGCTAGTAAGGGAAGGGGAATAACCTGCCATTCTGTATGTCAAGAAGTGAATCTTCCGTCAAGATAGGCCTCACATAGTTGTTTTGTCGAGCAATAAGTGCCAAGGATAGAAAGCTAAAAGAAAAAGTTGAATAACCAAAGAATTCAAGCAGATGAAAGACCAAATAAGACAACAGAGAGTCATTCTATTTTAATGTTAAACCCACCAATCCAGTTCTGCTGCAAAATTTACCGCCTTTACTAGCTGAGGTGCAAATTGGAGTATACGAGATTCCAAGTCCCTGATGATTGCTCTTTCCATATCTGAAATAGCAAACAAGAGAAATTGATGAGAATAAATGCAAATAATAAACTATTACTCATTGTTACCAAAATAAAGTAGATCAGACATATTCTGATGCAGGAACTAATAAAATCTTTGGATATTGAAAATTCAAGCCCCGACCTTTTACTTCAAAGAAAAGATGGCACAAACGAGCTAAAAAACTTAACAAATAGTATGAAACTGATAAATTAGGAAAGCATGAAGGAAAATCACATGCAAAACAGATAATCATGAGTTCATTGACCCAGCAGATTGGCCTTAAGCCGCTTTGTCAGGCAAGTTATTTTGGCTAGCAAAGTCAGGTCCAATCTAATAAAAAGGAAAATTCAAATTGTGAACCATTTTAAGGTCAAGTCCTAAATGATCTAGCCTAAACCAACTAAGCCAAAAAAAATAAGATTAGACAAACATTAATGTGCCCAGGTATAAATTTGAACCCAAGTTGCAAAGGCTTTGAGTTGACCGCAGTTCATCCCTTGGTTTCACATATTCCTGCACAAGTGGACCTATCATACCCATCATTTGATACTTGATGCGCTATAAAAGATGCACATTTCCTTCTATTCTAGTAGGGATACAAATTTCTTTTGATGATGCAGACCCCTAGGCTCTGCCGAAATTTAGGCTGACAAGATACGTAAATAAGAGTTAAAAAAGGAACCATTTGAGCAAATATATATATATATATATATATATCAAAATTTAAAAATTAAATTAATAAAATTGAAATTAGAATTACAAAGTGACAACCCGAACCAAAATAGACTTACAGACAACTAGCACTGAACGTGAACGCTCGCCAACAAGCATGAACCAAAATGTCCCCCAAACTCCTAGCACACTCATGCACATTCAAGTCCTTTAAAGAACACTATGTGAGATGAAATTTGTGTGAAATGAATTATACATGGGATCCCTATTTATAACCCCAAAACCAATCATTTGTAAGGAGCCCACCAAACTAAAATCCAAACACATAAAGACTTGAGAAACACGCATGTGAAAATTGTGTTAAGATGTTTTTTCGAGGCTATGTGAAAAGTGTGCTAGGATGCCGACTCGAGGCACTCGCATCAAATTCCCTATAACGATGCAATCGGATAAACATGCGAGCATTAATGCACCTAAATGCAAGCAATAAACAATCTAAAATATGAAATTATAGGCATAACACCATGATAATGCATTCACGTGACCGATCGCCAGGTCGGATCCTCCACATCTTGAACAATTGTTTCATGTGAATGTCTTCTAATAAAATGAAATGAACAAGCTCGTTGCAAGTCCCAGGTGTACAGGTGCCCTGGTTAAAGCATAACAATAGCTACCAAAGCAAAGGGACAGGAATATGTCCCGTGAATATCTCAAACACCTCATGAATGCATGGCTTCGAAAAGAGACAAAATAGTACAATATTGCACGTCGCAAGTTGCACGACTAGTTCACTAAAGTATGTGAAAAACATCAAATCATCAAAGCAAAATATTGCCTGCGTATTCCTCGGTTGTATCATGCATTTGTACTGAAGACATACACGTGTATTATATTTATGCACTAAACTGTGACTGTGCATATTGTCGATAATGTGAGTGCATTCAACAGATGTATCAATAATCATGCAACATGCAAATGTATCATGCATATAAACTATCTAACATACAAATACATCCTGCATGTAGACTATGTAACTGTATATATAACATGCATTATACAAATGCATCATGCATTTATATTATGTTACATGCAAATGAATCATGCCTACCTACTATTCGATGTGCAAAATGCATTACGCAAATATGCTATGTAACATGCATACGCATTATGCAAATATGCTATGTAACATGCAAATGCATTATGCTAACATCCATGACAACATGCAAATGAATCATGAGTACATAATGAGCAACATGTGAATGTGTCATACTATTACATTACATGCATCATATAAATACATAATTATTATGCAAATATATTATGATACTTATACAAATACATTATACCAGTCATACAAATGTGTCATCCCAATCATTAAATGCAAACCATCACACTAATGCATTATGCAAATCATACAAAGGCATTAATTATGTTGCAAATGCATTATACAAATGTAGTAAAAATGTATTTGGCATTTGAAAGAAATTTAAACATCATCATAGACTCTGACGAGCACAATAAATAGGCAAGCAAGACATTTGAGGATGTTGTGCAGACAAAAAAAATGTTAAATATATCATCATGAAAATTGTATAAATATATTAGCAAGTGCACTAAAATGGACACGCATCATTTAAAGTGAAACTTAAAATATCTGCATGTACTCTGACCCTTGAATACAATTCCTAAATTTAAGATCTGAGGATGCCGTGTGAGTCAAATTTAAAGTCCAATCCTTGTCCTTGAATGAATAAGAGTGGACACGTATTGAGACAACAAGTGAATATATGGCCGTAATATCAAATAAAAATATTTGATTTTATACATTCACATTAGACTTTCAAAGTCTCATAAAAAAATTCATTAACAAAAACACAAAACTCATGAAATCGACACTCCTTGAATCCATGAAAATATTTGGCTTTAACACTGTCATTGTCAGGTCCCAAGTCTTGGATGAGAAAAGTGAAGGGTTGCGTTAGATACTTGACAGCCAGCGTAAAACTTGTCGAATAATCACGACATTAATCCTTTAAAAATATATATTAATGCTAGGGCGTCCCCTAGAAGCGATGCACTATATGACCTAAATACAACGACAAGTGTGCAAGGGCCGCTGCACCAGCGCCCAGGTGCAGTGTTAAATAGGCGAAGTGTTCCCACATCAAGGACAGATGTGGGCAATGAAGCTAGTCCATGAAACTAAAATTAGGATAGGAACTTGGAATATAGACTCCCTTATGGAAAAATTAATGGAATTAATATATATTATGATTCATAGGAAGATAAATATTCTTTGCATTCAGGAAACTAAATGAGTAAGAGAGAAGGCTAAAGAGATTGATAATTTAGGATATAAACTATGGTATTAGGGTAGGATAATGTTATAAAAATTAATAGAATTAGCGATATAATTATAGCTTTAAAGATTGTTGTTGATGCAAAGATTATTAAAATTATAAGTGCTTATGCTCCTCAAGAAGGTCTGGATATGGGTTCAAAATTAAATTTTGGAATGACTTAGAAGAATTAATACAAAAGATACCTCTTGAAGAAAGAGTTTTTATTGGAGGAGATTTAAATAGACATGTTGGTAGAGAGGTGGATGATTTTAAAAGCATTCATAATAACCATAGTTTTGGAACGACAAATGAATGTGGTAAGACCATATTAGATTTTTCTTTAACTTATGTTTTCTTAATAGCTAATATCTTATTTAAGAAAAGAGATGAGCATCTTATCACTTATAAAAATGGATATAATAAAACACATATTGATTATATAAAAAAAAAAAATTAGATCATTTAGATTGCAAAGATTGTCAAATTATTCCAAGTGAAAATATATGACATCGATTATTAGTTTTGGACTTTAAGATAAAGAGGCATAATATAAAAAATAAAGTAAAACGCTTTTCTAGGATTAGATGGGGGCATTTAAAGAATGCCGACATTTCCTTGCTCGTTGTAGACGAATCCGGAGTCAAGGTCGGGATCGGCCATTCATCAGTTCCGAAAGGTTGAAGTGTTGGAGACGATGGTCTTTGCTTCCCTTAAAGACTCTTCTTGAGAAAAAGAAGTTTCTCTCAAGGATTGAGGTAAAGAATAGGGAGGAAAGTGGCCGGCCCAATGAAAGAGGTTTAGGGAAAGAAGTTCAGATTTTGGGAGGTAATAGGAGGGAAATTGGAGAATTTGTTTCCCTATTTAATTCTTAAACATGGAAAGAATTAAAAGGGAAAAGGATGAGGGGGGGGGGGGGGGGGGGGGGGGTAGGAGAGAAGGAAGGAAGCTTTGAATACTTCCCTAAGGGGGAGGGCTTGAAGTTGGAAAGTATTTAAGAGGTGGGGACCCAGGCGGTGGCGGCAGGGGTGTCAATCTCGGGTCACGATTTGGGTTCGGGTCAAACCTAAAACTGACCCGACACAATTTGGGTCAACCAGACCCAACCTGAATGACCTGGTTCAAAAAAAAATCGCTAATTTTTGGATCCAAAAATGGGTAAATCTTCGATTTTCACGTAAAAAATGGGTCAATCTTGGGTTGTCTGGTAAAAAACGGGTTTTCGGGTCAAAAATGGATCGATTTTGGGTCAACGGGTCAACCCGAACCGATTTTTGAAATTGGTCGAATTGTTGAACCTGAACCCGACCCATTTCGGTTCGGGTCAAACCAAACTCCAAATTTTTGGGTTGGGTTCAGGTCAGGTTTTCGGGTCGGGTCTAATATTGGCACCCCTAGGCGGCGGCATGGGGAGAGAGAGGGAGGGGTTTGGGAAATTAATCAAGCCTTCTTGATTTGGATTATTAAATTAGGAAGGGCTTAATTAATTCCCAATCAATTTAAAATTCAAAGGGGTTGAAATTTGTCAACTATCCTAAAATAGAATTAATATTTTAGGTAATAATTTCAAATTCAAATAGATTTGAATTTGCAAATTAATTGAGTTACCTAAAATATAAAGATCTAATTAGGAAGGATGTGATTGCACGCGTTAATGGAGGGAAACCAAAGGGGGCCGACGGCTTGGGCACTAGGGATTTGGGTGAGGGGCCGACGGCTATGTCGGGAGAAAGGTGATTAGTTGGGTGGTGGTGGTGGGATGAAGTTGACGGGTGTGAAGGGGGTAAAGGTTGGGAGAGCCGGTGGTTGGAGCTAAGTGAACTGTGGGTTGGAGGAAGAACGAAGGGGGGAAATAGTAGAAAAGAAAAGATAAAACTAGCCACGAACCTAACTCTTCCAAGGTTGGTGGGTGATCTGCTTCCCTCTCCAAGGGATCTCTCTCCAAAACCTCTCACGCTCTTGCAAGAACTCAAAATGCAAGAAATTTATTATTCATTCATTAATCTTCAAAAGAAAACATAAGGGCTATATATAGCCTTATACAATGGATGGGAAAATAAAAAGACGACTTAGCCCTTTGGGCTTACACATGACCACCCTTAAGGGGTAGAAAGGGAGAAACAACTAAAATAAATATAAAACAAATAAATAAAAACAAGTACATATGAGGACTTAAAAATATATCGGCGCGATCGTGGCCGTAGATCGACGACCACGCCTATAATAAACTTTTCATGCTCCAATGTCCCCATCAATATATATATATATATATATATATATACTTTTTTAATAGGAACAACTATAATTTTGAATGCATTTTTTTAATATTTTTTTATCAATATCTCATGATCTGTGATCACACTAAAGAAAAATACTATTTAGAGAGTGATGTAATGACTAGTACTAATTTATGCCCCCATTAAAAAAAATTTCTGGCTCCGTCCCTAGCCGACAACGCTCATGATTAGTAATTGACAAGTACAAATGTAGCACTTTATGCTAAAAAAATATAAAGCGCCTTAGAAGAACCTTTTTTTACTTTACTGAAGATTATATGTTGTTTCAAATTAGCAGTTGTATTACAAATGCAATAATATTATTCATTTAATATTTAGAAACAGCAATGAAAAGTGCCAGTAATAACTTCTACTAGAACTCGTATGAAGTACAAACATATCATCTAAAAAATTAGTTGCCGACTTAACTGAGATTAGTAAGAGAAAATAATCAACATCAGCTTACCAAGAATTTTATGATAGATATCACCAAGAAGGTTGTCCAATTCTCTTGTCTTGGCAGTACGATAAAAGAACATTTTTTCCTCACCATCTTCAGAAAACTGATAAACTTTCAAATTATATGGCATGCATGACGCTTGAAAAGCAGATAAAGCAGGTTCATACCACAAATTCCAAATCATTTTTTTCTAATGTTTCTTCATCAAGCTTCTCATAAAAAATGCACCATAAATACCCTGGAAATGGATCTGGTTACTAGAAACAGAAGTAGAAATAATATGCATACAAGCATAGATAAATAAAAGCAGCTTCATAGAGTCTTCCCTCTATCATTGAAAGACTTAACAGAGACTTATATAGCACAGCATAATTAGAACAAGATTGCTAGTTTTGAAGTAAATAATGCTCTTTTAAATAAGGTCATAGATCCAAGCTTTTCCTAACTACGAGAAGATTATTTGTTAAATAAAGAATATAAACTTCGATTAATAAAGTTAAAAAGTATGTGCAATCTAGGATTTATTTCCAGCATGATACATACTCCAGATTCAACCACAAGCATCATCACTTCGGGTTAAAATTTGATGTAGCAGGGAAGGCAGTTTTGAAACAAATAAAGGGTGAGAGGGAGGAGGGGGATCAATTCATATTTAAAAGACGGACAAACCTATTTGATGAATATAAACAATTTGAGGAGCTCTGTTTCCATAATTCTTAATCGAGAGAGAGGCAATTTCGGCCGAGGACACCTTCAAAGAATAGCCCTTTTTTAATAACAATGGAAAGCAACAATCAAAATATGAACTTTCCCAACATAGTGCTTATCAAACAACCTGATCCAGAAATTCTGGCAGTTGCTCATATACCAGCCTTAGCTCATCCAGCTGTTGAAGAGATTGCACATTGTTCAGATTGCAATTCAGTAGTATTTTCATAAAATAAGTAGGTGAGCCAACATATTAAATATAAGCGTAATCCCGATCCCAGCAAGTTTTTTGTTAAGAATCCATGCTCTGATCAAATATGTATAAAAATATTACACAAGAAAAATAAAGATTTAACTGAGGAACGTCAAATTACAGACTGAACATAAAATCTTTGATCGGCATAGATTAAGCTAATTTCAATGTTTAAGTTGAAAACCAATACAACAATAAGTTATATAACAAATCATGAAGCCAACAAATTGGACAGACCCGAAGGGTGTCATGATTTACATGTTTGTGGAAAAATCTTAAAAATTTCAGCATTCACAACTCTTCAGATCATTGACACCCTCACATGAAGCTCCAACAACCAAAAATCCATCTGATGCAGACATCCGATTGTGGACGTTAATCAAAGGAAGAGATGAAGATCAACGGCCGAGATCCCTCCAATTTTTATCATAGTTTATTAATTGTATTTTTGATTTAATTATGTATTTTTTGTTTTTACCCTTACTTAAGGGTCTTGTCTTATGTAAGCCCAAGGGGGAAAGTTGTCTTTTAGTTTCTTTTAAGGCCTATATATAGATGCCCTTGCCCTTGCTCTTGTATTAGACGATGATGGATTAATAAAAAAAATATTTCTACACTTTGTTCTTGAGAGCGATGGGAGTTCTTAGGAGAGTGAAAGTCCCTATATGAGGATAATAAAATACCCACCAGCCACAAGATGTGTCCGGGCTCGTGGTTGAAGTCCCTTGGTGAAGGGCAACATAATACCCGTCAGTCTTTGAAAGAGTCCGAGACTCGCGGTTTATTTTCTTTCTCTAATCCCTCACCTCCTCCCTTAACCACCGGCTAAATCTTCTTTCTCTAATCCAAGACTCACGGTTTATTTTCTTTCTCTAATCCCTCACCTCCTTTAACCGCCGGCTAAATCTTCTTTCTCTAATCCCTCACCTCCTTCTCTAGTCCGAGACTCACGGTTTATTTTCTTTCTCTAATCCCTCACATCTTTCTCAAATCCCTCACCTCCTTCTCCATTTTTTATCTTAGTTTATTAATTATAATTTTGATTTGATTACGCATTTTTCATTTTCCCCTTAAGGGTCTTATCTTATGTAAGCCCAAGGGGGAAAGTTGTCTTTTAGTTTCTTTTAAGGCCTACATATAGAGGCCCTTGCCCTTGCTCTTGTATTAGACGATGTGGATTAATAAAAAAAAGTTTCTACACTTTGTTCTTGAGAGCGATGGGAGTTCTTAGGAGAGTGGAAGTCCCTATGTGAGGGCAATAAAATACCCACCAGCCGAAAGATGTGTCCGGGCTAAGATGTGTCCGGGCTTGTGGTTGAAGTCCCTTGGTGAAGGGCAACGCAATACCCGTCAATCTTTGGAATAGTCCGAGACTCACGGTTTATTTTCTTTCTCTAATCACTCACCTCCTTCTCCTTTAACCGCTGGCTAAATCTTCCCCTAGCCACCGACTTTCTACCTCCCATCCTCTTCCCCACCACCGGCCACCCACCCCCTTTCCTTTTCACCCATCGGCCACCACCCTCCCCTTCTTCCAACTGCCAGTCTCCACCCCATCTCCACCCTAAAACCCCACGAAACCACCACCTTCTCCACCAAGCCGCCACTTTTCTTAGCCCTCTCATCCTAGTTTCCTTCTTTCCTATTGGGATTTTTTTAAAAAAAATTGGAAAACTTTTGAATTTAAATTCAAATGAATTTAAATTTCAAATAATTTCCTAAATTAGTTATCTTATTTTAGGAAAGTATTACAATCAAACCTATTTCAAATTCAAATAGAATTTGATTTAAATACTCCTTCCTAATTTAAGATTCCCCACTTGGCAAGCTTTAAATCACCTCCATATGCCCATTGAATTTTGAATTTCAAAATTCAAACCAACCTTAATTCCTTTTCTAAAATAAATCTTATCAATTTGGAAAAGATATTTATTTGAAATCAATTCCATATGGGAATTTCAAATACTTCCCTCTTTGATAATCTTTAATTAGGAAACCTCCTCAATCATATTAAATCTGAGATTAAATTCTGTTGGCTCAAGAAAATGACATGAATGCATGAATCCCATTTTACAGCCGTAGGATTCCACTTCCCTTAAGTCAGATTGTAGTTAACTAGATTTCCCCTGAGGGTAGTGTCAGGGTTTAAAGATTTGGGGTCCTTACTTCCTATGGGCGCAACCACTCATAATTAATTACCCATCTTACTACGTAAGAGAGAACTCTCAATTAAGGATGAATAAATTTTATATATTTTTAGTCTCAACAGTAGGGGAAGTGGAGGAAACCCGATCAAGATCCCATTGTTCCGTCGTCCCGGGTATACCGTAGATTTCAGTCTACCAACACTAACAATTATGACTATAGTGTCTAGGGAATCTGATTAGCAGCCATGAGTTGCCTCCTCTCAGTAATCCCGAATAGACTAAAGTGATTAGATGTAAGTTTTAATTTTGTTGAGTGTTTTGGGGTTTACATCTATTATAATACCCAGAAATTGATTTAGTTTAGGATTTATGACTTCGTTTAGAAGTAACCCAAGAGTTTGGTTTAGAGCGGGTCTTATGGCTTCTTCAGGAAGTAGCCCAGATATTTAGATTTGAGTTGGGACTTACGACTTTCGTAAAAAGTAGCCTGGGTATTTGAAATTTGAATGGGGCTTATTGCCCTATTTACGAGTTGCGCAAGGATGAGTCTTACAACCTAACTCTACAGCGAGGCTGCCCAAGTGAGGGGTCTAGGATTGTATTATTACCTAAATGTTTCCCTCAGAGGTCCGACTTATGACTTCTATTAGAAGTAATCGGTGTTTTAATTGGGGATTGGGGTTAGATTACTTTTTACCTAAAACTTTATCCTAAGGTCGGGCTTACGACTTTCCTACAAAAGTTGCCGGGTAGTGGGTCTTACAACTAAGTTCTTATAAACAAGGCTGGCCATATATTTAAATTTGATTGTTTGAGCGGACAATAGTTGTTTGAAACTAAACCACCATTGTTTTCAGTTGGTTGTTTATTAGTAGTTGTACTTACAAGTTTGACTAGTTGTGATTGTAACACTAGTGTTCTTTTGCTACAGTAGTTTTCCTTTCTATTTTAGTAGATTACTTTTTTCTGTATCATTGTACTGTTAGTTTACTGCAGCATTCTCTGCTTTAGCATTAAATTTAATGTTGATTTAATTGTAATGCTAAATGAATTTAATTTATTTGTTGCAGGAAGTACCGAGGAGTACATGCTCGGTACACGCTCGGTACTGAGCGGTACATGCTTGGTACTGAGCAGTACATGCTCGGTACACACTCGGTATTGAGCAGTACATGCTCGGTACACGCTCGGTACTGAGCGATACATGAGTACATGCTCGGTACACGCTCGATATTGAGCAGTACATGCTCGGCACGCTCGGTACTGAGCGGTACATGAGTACACGCTCGGTACATGCTTAGTACCGAGTAATACATGCTCGGTACACACTTGGTACTGAGCGGTACATGCTCGGTACACGCTCGGTATTGAGCAGAATTTCAAAATTACTCTTATAATATAATTTTGAACCCCGCAAGGGGGCAGCGCCCCCTTGGACCCTCGGCAGACTGGTATATTTTTGTATTCATGTTGTTTTATTATTGGTATTTGGTAGTACAAATATCTCGACCGTATCTAAGATACGACGACCTTGGGTCTTGAAATTTAAAACCATCTGCCCTGATTTTTAATCAGGGCAGATTAAAAATCAACGGCGCAGGTCTTCGATACCTGTTTAAAAGTCTTTTCCTTTTCTCTTATTATTATTTAGATAAATTATATTAGATATTTAATATTATATAAATAATAATAATATATATTTATATATAATATTATATATTACAGTATGCATTTTGAAGATTGGGTTCATTTCGAGGCAGTTTGATATCAGATATACAACAGGATTTAAGTCGGATTTACACTAAATCCAGCCAAACGAATTTTGTGCATGCATTGAATCCCGGACATGGGTAAATCCCTCGGTTTTATGGATTTATGGCATTTGACCGAAGAAGCAAGCCAAGGGTAGAAAGTTACCTTCACAATCAGTGAACTCTCGTTGTTGCTTCCAATCAAAATGTCGTCTCTTCCGATTTGACAGGAAGGGAAATTCGTCGAAGGAGCAAAGTCGGATAATCACAAAGGAGCTGAGAAGCGATTTGTGCGATCTCGACACCACCTGCGAAGGAACGAAGACGGAGTCGGAGAAGCGAAGTTGGATGACAAGGAGGGAGCCGAAGGAGGGACGGGTGCTGTCTCTCTCCTCCCGCGAAGTGGCGAAGTCGGACGGCAGTAAGGGAGCCGCAGAAGCGTCGTGCGAAGCAACGAAACCTAACCGCGACTAAGAGCTGGAGAAGTGACGGGTGCGGTCTCTCCGTTCCCGCGAAATGACAAAGTCGGACAACCACAAAGGAGCCGCAGAAGCAACGCGTGCGATCTCTGCCTCCAGGGCGGATCCAACTTTTTTTTTAGGGTGGGCAAAAAAAAATTTTTTTTGTAGGGGATGGGCAAAGATGCTTAGTATTGATATAAGTAGGGCAAAAAAAATTTTTGAGTGGGGGCAAAATGCCCAAAATACTCAAAATATTTCAAAATTTCCCCTCTAAATATAAAAAAAAATTTTTTGAGGGTGGGCATTTGCCCACCCTAAGCATGTGGTGGATCCGCCCATGTCTGCCTCTGCGGAATGGCAAAACCGAACAGGAACGATGGAGTGCGAATGTCCCCTCTACTCGCTTTTATCAGTTGTTTTAAAGAAGAGAGCGGATTATTTTGATTCGAACGAAGGGTTGCTTCGCTTGAGCACACAGTGGGCCCGACAACAGGTAAACTACTTCGAAAAAAATTTATTTCATTTCTTTTTTTTTTTTCAGTCAACAAATTCAGATTTAATTCCAATCTTCTTTTAATGCTTATGGCCCACATGCATTGAATTGAGATCCTCTCTCTCTCCCCCTAATTAAGCCTCCAATCCCACCTATTACTCCCACCTCTATGGCTAAATTAATTTCAGCATTTTGAATTTGATTCCCTTCTATTTCAAATTCAAAATTATGAAATTGAATTTCCCTCCAAAAACCGCCGCCCAACCTAAACCCTACCCACTTCTCGTAGCCGCTGGCTTTAGCCCCACCCTTTTCCCTCCTAAATTTATTTTTTCCTAAATTAAGTCGTTTTAATTTTGGTAAATTTTTTAATTCAAATTTAAATGAATTTGAAAATTCAAATTCTTTCCTAAATTATTTAGTTTAATTTTAGAAAGTTTTCCCTCAATCAAGGAATGATTAAATCTGAAATGGATTAGGAATCAATTCAAAATTCCTACATTCATCGAACATAGACACGTCTTCCTACATTCATCGAACCTAGACATTTCTCTCCCCTCCTTTGGCTAGCCCTCACCTCTTTCTCTCCCTCTTAAATTAATTAATTCACCAATTGGACATCCACTTAGAAAAATTAATTAACCAAAACCCCCCTCTTCTTTCTACATCACCATCCTTCAACCAACCCAATGCCACCATGCTTTACAGTATCACTATAAGCCCCTTATCATTGTTTTAGGTCACTACCCCGTCGCACGGCCCACTAATAGAAAGGAATCTTCTAATCCTACATTTTTCTTTGCTCTGGAGATTTATTGCCTAACACCATAGCCATGGCTCACCTAACACCACCTTTGATAGCTGTTACAGTCTCCTTGGTTGACATAGTGTTTTCATTCACATTTGGCCCTTCAACAGAGAGAAGGGGAACTTTTCCTTCCACCACCATCACTTCTTACCAGCTCCAACACAAGGTTGCTGCCAACTGAACTCTCTAGCAGTCCAAGTCTAACTCAGACATACATGGAAGCTATAGCCACTCAACTCTTCTCTAACGATGTGCTCTAAGCTTACATAGTGCGACTGGATTGATCAGCATCTCCAACATCTATGTTATTATTTGCTCTTTTTATCGTTTTTTATTTTATCATTTTCGGTAAAATCTGGTTTGGACTTAAGAAGCAAATATAATCCATAGGGTTCAAACAGCTAACTACAGAAGCTTCACCTCAAAGCAACTGGTGTCTCTTTATTTGGCTGATAGTGCATATGCACTTCAAAGTGTTAGGAAATGCTTACAGGAAATAAGAATCCCCCCGGCTGAGTTTGAATTTCAGCCCAATGAAAAACAGATTTGAGAAAAAATTGGAAGTAACCAGAAATAAATCTTATTAATTGATAATACTAGAAGAAAAACACAATATAAAGTTGTATCTTCTATTGGAGAAGAAGATCTGGCTCTCCCAAACTCTCTAGATGCCTCTAGAGCCCAAACAAGAACAAAGAACTCCAATTCCAACAAAAAACATTGATGAGAAAAAATCCTAGAAGAAAATCCTTCTTAAACAAACATTAATTCCCCCTAATTACCAAACAGCCCCCTCTATGAAAATTTCCCTCCTAATTTCCCCCTTAATTGGGCTTGTGGACCCCACCTTAAGGGGGTGGCAATGCTGGGGCGGAACCCCCTTGTTCCGCCTCCTATAGATTAGGACCAGTCCTGGTTGGACCGGCTCGATCGATCCAGAAACCAATCTAATAAAAAGGGAACTCCATAAAAAGAGGGAAGTGTGTACAATACAACAACGATGCTTGATATGAAGATTAACCTTTATTCCAGCAATTTATCCATATATGTCATTCTTCAGGTCAATTTTAGCAATTCCTGTACCATTTACAAGGACTTCAAATAGTATGTGATGGGATGACATTGGAATGAAGTAAAAAGAAATCAAATATTTAGCCATAAAAAAATAATAATTTTTTTAATAAAGCTCCACTTTTTAAATAAAATATTTTTTTCTAGAAAGTAAATTCATGATGGCCTCAAAATGAATAAGCTTGTGGGATCTCAGATGTTGGATGTGTAGAAATCCCATAATGATCAGAACTAGCATGAACACATTATGGGAGAAAATGATATAAGATGGAATATGAGATGAACTTTAAGTATAAAAAAGAGTAATATTGCTAACCTCCTCACAAAGCCCCTCTTTAACTAATGTCTCGTAACCTTTATCCTTAGAACGCTGGGTATCAATCACACCCATCACCTGAAGACAAGCAGTTTTAAAATGATGAGGCCAATACAACAAGCATAACATCATATGGCATGATGAAGCAATAATAATAATAATAAATCTAAAGCAGCTTCACCGCTGCCAATAATAACATTCAATCAAATGCAAGAATGTCTTACTATATTTTCAGCATACCTTAAAAATTAAAATAAAAATGAATTTAATGAAAGAAGTGAACTACCTTGATGTCAAGGTAATCCGTGAGCAACAGAATAGCAGCAAATAACATCAAGGAGAAAAGAGGGTAGTGATGTAGGCAAAGAAGTCCTAGAATTGCCAAAAAAAAATATATATGAACATGAAAACACACACTTACAAGAGTATATTTCAGAATAATTGAATTTCTGGACTTGAAGGACTTTTCTGGATTGTTTCAATTATCTTTAGAGTTGTAGACCATTTTTGTCATTATAAGGGAGGCACATATACAATATTTTAAGGAAATTTGGCATGATTTTGTTGAGTTTTAAGTTGGTAAAAGTCATTTATAAATCTTTCAGAGATGGAAAATCATGCAATTACATTCGAATTTAGAAAAAAAATTAGAAATTTATATAATTTCATTCAAGAATATAACCCTTTTCAAGAAAGAATTTTATCACCCTTACAACTGCACTTAGAAGGGAAGTTGTGGTGGGCATGGGTGTGGGGTTCGGGTTGGAATGGAAGGTGATGAATGCTTGCAAGAAAGGGGGTGGTGTGAAGAAAGAAGTTGAAATTGAGGCGAACGAGATAAAAGATGGTGGGAATGTAAATAAACTCATAGTTATTTAGAAGGAAACAAAAATATAACCAATCTCATGATGCAACTTGGGTACTATCTTTCTCATCGTAACATATTTTCTCATTCTTCTGTCTAAACCCAAAACAAAAAATTCATAGTTGAATGAAAGAGAATTTTTTATTTAAGATTATTCCCAATCACATCATCCGCACTATAACCCTTTCCTTATTTTCCACACAATCTAACGGAGAAAGTTCATAGCTTAATTGAAAAACATAAGAAAATAAAATTTGAACTAATAAGATTTCCAAATAGAAGGTTATCACATTGCCCAAAAATAAAGAAAATCTTAATATAACTAATGTCAAATTAAGAAAAAAAAAAGTTTGAACATAACTACTCTTTATTTACTGTAGTGTTGTTTCGGTTTGAACACTCCATAAAATCTATTGATCATCAAATATTTTAATCTCAATGATTTAAAAGCTAGTATGCACTGCATCCAACCATGGTAAGAAATTGAATTAATCTGGAGCTCAGACGCTAAATGAAAACAATGACTGGTTGACCCGTCAGCATGTAGAAAGAGAATCCAGACTCTATCCCAATCATGCATGCGTTGAATCAACTAAGATGGATTGACCGTTAAGGAAACCTGGCTATTGAGTGAAGAAAAAGACAAAATATCTAGCGAAGGAATAAGAATTAAACATGGAATGTAATTGTCTCTAAGTGAAAATAATTCTAAAGGTTCGTAAAGTAAAAATTGTAGTGCTTTATTCACTACAATTGGTTTGGATCATGTAGGTTCAGGAGGCTATTCCAACTACAGCAGATGCAAGATTATTGTCAAAATTTTACACTTTATTCTGTAGCTTTCGAACAATTTTACCTTATGTTAATGTGCATTTAATATATTAGTCTTACATTTTCACAGCAAATAAAAAATACATGAATTGTCCAAAAGGGGCAAAGCCATTTATTTAAAAAAAAAATACAATAATAAATCTTTTGAGGAATAACCAACGAATTTCCAAAAATACAACTAAGAAGTCACCAATACATTAATGAACCTCTGATGAATATAAAGCGAGAAATTTTCAAAAACACAATTAAGAAGCAATTACCAACCAAATCAAAGACATAAACTAGCTCGATTGATATGCATGTGTTGGCCTGCAAGGACAAACAAAAAACTTTTGGCAGTTAGTTGTTAGCTATGTATAATTAGTACTTTGGCCGTCTTCATAAGATTGTGGATCACCACTTCTATACCCTTTCCAATATGCGCAGGTGCAGGCAATCCAACCTCTCTTGAAGATACTCCGATATTCCGACTTCAAATATTTTGCTTATGTGCAAAAGGGAAGTTATGCACTGAAACAATTAATGCACAATTACAAGAAAGTTATATAGAAATTACGGTTATGTTAGAAGAAATCAAGCTCAACTACTACACTTAAGCTACTTCAAATAAAATATAGTACACGACATAAAATATGACCTAATAACACCAAAGCTGTAAAAGAAATTGCATTGTGCACATTTATGCAAGTGCATTTGGCAAGTGTGTGTTTATTTCTGTGCATGTGAGACACACCCCGAAAATACATATATCTGATGAATGATAGGAATATCAGTCTAAAAACAGAACAAATACGTAACGAGAAGCAAACATACGAAGATTGCCAAAACACTACAGGAAAATCATTCGTTTCCAGCGGAAATCACTGAATTTCTGATAGAAAAAAAATTTGACAGTAAATCACTAGGAAAATAAATACTAGCGGAAAAATCCACCATGTTTCCTGCGAAATTCGGGCAGAATTTCCTGCCGAAAATTTTTACTGCAAAAATTGTTGCTGGAAAATTTTTCGGCAAAGCTCAAATTTGCTTTAGCTCAAATTCTGAAAACCAACCTGAGCTTGCTGCAACTTGCCTGTGTTCCGCTGCTCGCCCTCTGATGCCTGCCCGCATCCTGCTGCCTGACTGCCTACTCGCGCGTTGTGTGAGATTCGAACCTGCTCCTTCGAGTTTTAATACTATGTGCCATTCCACACGATCGCGAAGCAAAAACTGTTATAAATAATCCTCCCTCCTATTTTCACCAAAAACTGAAAATAATTTCAGTTTTCAACTTTCTCCCTCCTCTCCTTACCGCCGGCTCATCTATGGGCATAATTGCAATTGATTTCCAATTAATGCATTAATTGCATTCATTAGGAGATTCAAATTTGAATGTTATTTCCCTCCTAAATTCTTAAAGCTGAAATTAAGTTCAGTTTTTTTTTCAAAATCTCTCTCCTCTCCTCATCCTAATCCCACCGCCGGCCTCCTTCTTGCTCCCAACCCGCCGGCCCCTTGCTTCCCCTTGAAGATTCCGTGGTAGCGCCGCTCAATCCCACGTCAATGTTGCATGGAGGAACCCGAATGGAATTACGGGTTTGAATACGACAACCGTGGACGAGTGAACATCCTCCGATCTCCTTTTTTTGACGTTGGTTTAGACTTCGACGACACGGTCGAGGAGTACTTGGACCGGATCCTACCGGCCTTAGTGGAATCCATAGACGATCATTTCTCCATCTACACTTGGATCATCGAAGGGCCTCGCTACACACCACCTCCACATCCGGCTCCATCCGCTTCTTCCCTACGGATCTACGGCATCGTCGTCCTCGGAGTGGTTTCGTCACTAGCATGTTTCTTCTTCTCCCAATGAACCTAGAGGTAGTTGAATGAGTGTGGCCTCAAGGTGAGACAATCACTTTGTTAACCGCCAGATTCTTGTTGACCATTCATTTACATTACTTTATTGAAGTCGTTATTTTATCGAACTTGTAAACTTAGCTGAATTTTCTTGCCTAAACGTTGTTAACTTCTAAGATTTCCATTGAATCGTCAATTTAGCAAAGCTAGAGATTGTATTGTCAATGCTTTGTAGAACTTCTATTAATTTCATAAGATTCGATTCCAGGATTCACATCAAGAACGGAGGGGGTCGGCCAAAAGAGGGGAAAAAGGGAAGGCATCAACATACGTTGAATGTGTCCACATATGGTGAATGTGTCCACATACGATGAATGTAGACTTAAGGAATTTCCAAACTTGAATTACTAAGATAAGGAAAGTGGAATTATGACAGGTCTTTAATTAAATTCAAATTTGGAGAATTAAGGAAAGCCTCCTAATATAATTCATCCTATTTTAAGAAAGAATTTAGAATTAAGGAAAGCCTCCTAATATAATTTGAATTTAAAAACTTTCCAAACTTAAAATGCATCGAATAAGGAATGCCTTCAATAATCAATTTGAAAAGTGGAGGAAAAGAGGAAATATGAAGGGGGGTAGGGCTGGCAGCTAGCATGATTATGGCAGAGAGACCGATTACTTACCAGCATAGAGCAGTTCAAAGAAGCAGGTTTTTATGGATTGTATTAGTTGTGTGTCATGGACTATTATTGTGTTTCTTTTTATGCTTTAAGACATGTTATGTTTTGGTGTATTAGAAATGTTTGAAGTGGAAGTTTAGAGGTTCTTTCTTATGTTGTTAATGGATGTTTATTTGAATTGATGTTAATGATGAAAAAATATATTAAGTTTATATTTTTGTTACCGTACGACCGTCTGTTCCCGCCCCGTTAATTCGGGATAGACGGACCGGGTCATGACAATACAAGCAAGACATGGAGGCTTCTAGTTAAAAGAAATGGAGTTCACCAAAAAAATAGAAGAGATGAAACTGATCATCTCTAAAAAAATAGAAGCAAATAGATGTTTCAACAACCTTTAAGTCAACGGTTAATTTGTCCACAGAAAACAACTTTTTGGTGCTAAGAATATTGCAAAAGATGTGCTTGGAGTTTCAAAGGGAAAAGCTCCTAATAGTAAAAATAGTTGGTGGTGGAATCCAAATGTGCAAGAAAAGATAAAAAATAAGAAGATTTGTTATAAAAATTGATTTAGATGTATAAATTCTGATAATTGGGAAAGCTATAAAGAGGCTTATAAGGAATCTAAGAAAGCTATTTGCGATGCAAAGAGTTTAGCTTTTAATGATTTATATAATATATTAGATACTAAGGAGGGAGAAATATATATGTATAAGTTAGCCAAACAAGGAGATAATAGTAAGGATTTAGTTCAAGTGAAAGTGTATAAAGGATGAAGATCAAAAAGTACTTTTCTTAGAAAATGATATTCAACAATGATGGATAAGGTATTTTGCTAAAACTTTTTAATGAAGAATATGAAAATATGATTGACTTTAGTGATCTTATCACCCTAAATGAAAATAAAGATTTTTATTTTTATCGACGTATAAGTAAAATCAAAGTTAGAGAGGCTTTAAAGAAAATGAAGTGTGAAAAAGTTGTTGAACCTGATGATATTCCAATTGAGATGTGGAAATGCTTAGGAGATGAAGGAATTTCTTGGCTTACTAAACTTTTTAATACTATTTTAAAGACTAAAAAGATGTCGGATCAGTGGAGAATGAGTGTGTTAATTCCTATTTTTTAGAAAAAATGTGATGCACAGGAGTGCGCAAATTACAAAGTAATTAAGTTAATGTGTCATACTTTAAAACTATGGGAGCGAGTTATGGAGCATAGGTTGAGGCGTGATACTAATGTTTCTCAAAATCAATTTGGTTTCATGCCGGGTAGGTCTACTATGGAAGACATACATTTATTGAGAGGTTTGATGGAGAAATATAGAGAGAATAAGGAGGATCTACATATGATATTTATTGATTTAGAGAAAGCATATGATAAAGTTCCAAGAGAAGTGCTATGGAGAGTTCTTGAAAAGAAATGAGTTAATAATGCTTATATTCAAATCATTAAAGATATGTATGCAGGAGCTATTACTTGTGTTCAAACACAAGGTGGTTTGACCAAGTATTTTCCTATTTCGGTTGGATTACATCAAGGATCAGCCTTAAGTCCATATATTTTTGCTTTAGTCATGGATGTTCTCACTAGACATTTGCAAGAGGATGTACCTTGGTGCATGCTTTTTGCTGATGATATTCTTCTTGTTGATAAGACTAGAGAGGGAGTTGAATGTAAACTTGAATTATGGAGGTCAACTTTAGAGTCTAAAGGTTTTCGCTTGAGTAGATCTAAAACTGAATATATAGAGTGTAATTTTAGTGGAAATAGACCTAGTGAGGGGATTATGACTTTGGGCGATCAAGTCATTAATAAGAGTACACGCTTTAGATATCTTGGATCTATTGTTCAGAGTGATGGTGAAATTGATGGTGATATTATCAGCAGAATTCAAGTTGGATGGTTGAAGTGGAGGAATGCATCGAGCTTATTGTGCAATAAAAAAGTCCCCCTCAAACTTAAGGGAAAATTCTATAAGATGGTGGTGAGATTTGCAATGCTTTATGGTGCCGAATGTTGGCCATTAAAAGAGAAGCATAATACTAAGTTAAGTGTTGCAGAGATGAGGATGCTTAGGTGGATGAGTGGCTTGACCCTTAGAGATAGGATACGAAATGAGCATATACGTGAAAAGGTTAGAGTAGCTCCAGTGGAAGATAAGATTAGAGAGAGTCGCCTTAGATGGTTTGGTCACATTAAACGGAGACCTTCCGATGACCCGGTTAGGAAAGTTGAGGTATTGGATTTGGCTTATGTTAAAAAAGGTAGATGACCTAAAAAGATTTGGTTAGAAAATATTAGAAATGATCTTTCTTTATTAGATTTAGCTGAGAATTTGACTTTTAACCGGACACAATGGCGAAAAAGGATTCATGTAGCCGACCCCACGTAGTGGGACAAAGGCTTGATGTTGTTGTTGAGAAAACAACTTTTTGGTAACACTAGTTTATCCCTACATATGAAGAATCGTGACTTAAGCTGCCACAGGTTTGTGTTCGTTTAATAATAATTCAAATTAGATTTTGAAGGGCTCATTTAGGGATTATAAAACATAAAGGTTGTTCTGTTAGTGTAAGTTGTTAAAAAAAATGTGACATTATTAAAAAGGGAAATGTTTAGCAACTAATAGTAAAACTTTCTAGGTGGATAAGAGCCTAGCAAATGCAGATACTCATAAATGTTAGCAAAAAACTATCCGCATGTAAACTTGGAATATTGCTTGGTTTACCTTCAGGAATGCATTCCAGTCAGCATCGGTGCACAAGGAACTTGGAGAGTTGAATTTCTGCCACAGAACAGCAAATTAGACTAGGTATCCATACATGGCACGTAAAAGCTTTAAAAATCATGTAATTTTAATCTTAATGCATATAAACGATAGGTTATATAGTTTTAATTTTAGAAAAGAGGACTTCCATATTAACAACTTAAGCTAAGATGCATATTCAAGAGAATATTCACATGCTAACTCTTGATGCAATTTTTTTTTATTATCTAGTCATTAATGTAAGGACTTTTATTTGTTTAAGTGACTCATAGAGCCACGCATATGATATTCAGCTAAGCTATGAGTTTTATGCTGATGTGTTAACACACCCTCATGGATAAGCAATTAATCAAATATTAAATTGCATGCAAAGACCCATAAGGAGGCTTTACATTTCATTTGTTTTGAAAAGAGTTCACTTATTTTTGAATAAGCTATGTAAGTTCATTCGAAAATATCACCCAGTAGTTGATTTTAAAATTGTTTATATTTTAATAAGTAGAAAACTTAATTTACTAAGAGCCTACCATATAAAATATCTAGACCATCCCCAAACATAGTAAAAAAATTAGAAAAAAGAATTACTTTTTAAATGTGCATTTAAAATAAATAAGTAATAAAGTATAAATAATTAACCTCAAAATAATATAGAAGCCTTTATTACAACTAAAAAAATGATTGCTATGTTGTCAGCCTTATAAAAATCAGTAGAATTTACAGGCTCATCCTGTGGCTCTTCAAACATTGACTTTTGATGCATTCACGTCTTTAACTTTTGGAATTCATTCACATTTATCATTCCTTCAACTGTATTCCACTAGCCTACAAAACTTCCTAAGACTATAAATTGTATTTGTAAACAGAAAAAAAAAACTTTCCTACAAACCAAAGATTAAGAAGCACTTAAAATATGTATAACCATCATCAAAGATTGCTCAACAATTATTAGTGCCAAGCTAATTTTCAGCCTCTTAGTTATGCCTGCTCAAAGCTTTTAACTTATAAGCAATGCTCGCATGCAAAAATTATTAGCCAATAATCATTTAGTTTGTTTGCCTCTTTTAAGCATATCAACATACATCGAAAAATAGATATTTCTATCCTAAGACTTAAATATTTATATCTTGGCAAGCAAGAAGAAGTGCCCAAAACATAGATAATCCATCATACATTTCACACCAAAATCATAACCACATGCGCAAAAAAAATTATAATCCTAGATTGCCTAAGGATTTGTGCATCCAGTGTGTACCGGCTCATGTGGCTATCACAGTACTATTTGATGCGTTGTTTTATTGTGTAATAAAAAGATATTCAATTTTAATCCAATAGTGATTTTACTTAAAGTTATTTGTAAATTCAAACTTTTATTTAATTTTTAAAGGTGTTTTGTATTTTTAAAGGATTATGAAAAACCTATAGAATGATCACTACTTGCTTTATATCCTAATGTTATTCATGAAAAACCTATAGAATGATCAATCACCATTTTTATTTCCTTTAATTACTTATGAACTCTTCAATTTACTTTCATGTTGTTTCAATGCCCCAAAATATTTTACTTTAAATGTATTCTGATTAAAGCCTATTTAACAATATTGTATTGTGATGTACTCTGTTATCTCTTGTTGTGTTATGATGTGATATGCAATTAACTAAAGTGGATGACACTTTGAGGAAATCATTAATAAGAGTATTGAGTATGCTATACCACATAATAAGAATTGAAGCAGTTTAGTATAAAAGTACAGTAGCATTAATGTACATTTGTTGAATGATCAACATGATGTTATTATAAATTTATTTAAAACTAATTTAATATACTAATCATAAATATCATCTACTTGCTTTTACATGAGTCTGTCATTCATGATATCCTAATGTTCAAATATATGGCATTCCACCAAGAAGGGTGGAATGACAAATCAGTTTACTTAAAAAATCCAAGTATTTTTTAATGAATTTTAATAGTTTTCTTATATTTTGGATAATAGAAAGAAGGTTGCTTAATTGAGTAAAAGCAAACTTTCCTAAGTTTTTCACGTATAGCTTGGTGAATGTCACTTAATTGGATAGGATGAATTTCAAAATAAAGCTTTTAAAGAGGCCTACAAATTTATCTAGATATTTAATCTAAAGTTCATGTTATGCCTTCAAAACCTATTTAAATGAAATTCATCTTAAAATACAAGCTCTCAATTTCAATGTTCGTATTATAACTCACAAAATCAATAATCAAACCTGATTCTTTGTTAGCAAGCGAACATAATCAACAAGATTCCAATAACCAAAGATATAAATTATTCAAAACCCTGATGATGGTCGTGTTAAAATGAATATCAACAAGAGGGAATACTATAATCAAAATACAACGAGAATGCAAACCGAACCCAATCCTCTGCCGACAAATTGACAGAGTTGACACAATTCAAATGACAAAATACAAACAATTTAAAATACCCAACAATGATCGCATTAAAAATTAATCTCAACCGGAGGGGTTAACTATCAAACTTTATTAAAATTTTAAACTTAACGTTTATCAAAAATTTAAAATATCTCAAGAGAAATTTAATTATTTAAACTTAAAGCAAAACTTATCCACCCTCCGCAAAACTCATCGCATGTAATATTAATAAAATTCATTCTCAATTAATTTCTTGTCAGGCTGCACATTGCATTTATCCTCTAAACGATGGCTTAGCCCAATAGCTCCACAGAACCCGTGGATTGGCCCAATGACACCACATGGTAAATGATTATGATTGGTCCTCTAATCGGTGACTTGGCACAACATGTCCACAAGAACTAGTAGCTTGGCCAAAAAACTTCATGTGGTAAATGATTATGACCGAGGCCCTCTGACCCAGTGGCTTAGCCCAACATTTCCATTATATTATAGCCACGGCTAAAGCTCGTATGTTCCCCAATAACTAATGTCCTTGAATAATAAATCATAGGGTATGATGGACAAGATACAAAGTCCTCTTTTAACTAAGGTTAACTTAAATTCTCCCCTTAGATAAGCATTCATCTTAGCTCTACAAGGTATCTTTGTATAAAGCAATCTATAGTTGTTGTTAAGTATCTTTCGGTTAGATTGGGTCAACTACCTCCTCTAAATAAGTAGACCAAATATTATGATGAGTCAGGATGAAGAAACCATGGGAACTTGATCGGATTCAACATCATTCCCCCACAAAAGCTCAATTTTTTTTAGCCCACAGATTCCAATGTTTTGTAAAGGTGATTGTAAAGCAACTATGATTGTAGGTACTATAAATATATTCTTTTTAAGAAAATTGAACAATCGTTTTTTAAAGCTAACACATTAGCAACTATGGTTGTAAAATGCAGTTTCTCACAAGAAAATTCTAAAAAAGAATGTGAAAGCAGCTAAGTAGGTCAACACTTGGCTCACTGATATAACAATATAAACATTATAATAGGATAGAAATATGATTTATTTGAATTGGATAAAGTGGAAAATTAAGTGGAGAGATTTTAGGAACTTGTTAAAGAGTTTAATTAAATCAGAAATTTAAAATTTCAATTTCAAAATTTGAAGGATTCGCTAAGAAAATTTAGAGATGAGAAGCAATTGGGAGAGAGGGGTCGTATGGGGAGAAGTACATGAATTTGGAATTCCCCAATTTTGCCCTAATGGATGGAGCAAGAAAGAAGGGCTTACACGATAAGAGAAATTGCAATGCAAGAGAAGAAATAACAAATAAAATTGCTGTAATCAAGGACAGTATTGTAGGAAGTTGATGAAAATGAGAGAATAACTAGTAAAATTTCAATAAAAAAGAAGCAAAATTAATAGGATTTTTTCTATGATACCATAGTGTTGTAGGGTAGTCAGTTGAATTATAATTTTAGTTAAAAAACGAAAAAGTAAAGGATAATGAGTAAGAAGGAAAAAAGATGTAAAACAGTAAATTCTCAGGCTGTAGATATAGAATCCTCAATGCATATAAATTGCTGAATTCTCAAAACAGATAATTAAAAAGGCAACATAAGGGCTATAGAAAACTTCCATTCAACTTTACATAACAACAATTTTACAAAACATACGGGGCTATTTATAAAAATAGCCTAGCTTGAAAATTGTAAATCTAAACTACCCCTCAAAGCTCCATTTAATACTTCAGAATACTATGAAAACGGCATCAGCAAAACTACAAATTAGTAAAAAAATCTAAAATATAACTAGACACAGATATCCTATTTATCTAGAGTTGATAGAATAACAGACAACAAACCACATCATAGAGTTTAGTTGTATTGAATTTCATCAAGCATCATTAAACTATCTATCTATGAGCTTATCTTCTGGATCAGCAACTCATAGAGCTTCAGTAGAATTTCCATGTCATCATTTATACATTTCTCCAGCCACAAAAATGACCGTCTAACTTTTACAAGGCAGGTAAACATACTAAAATGTAGAAGTTATTTCCATCTTTGCTCTGAACACGAACATTGAACAGTTATCAATCATTAAAGTCTTGATAATAAAGTGGCAGAATTAGGTGCCCTAGCTAAAGCTTTCACCCCACATCAACGATGACCACCCACGATCTTCAACTACCACTAGATTAAACTACCCCAATGATGATCTCTGTAATTGGATCCTCCCCCAACCCAAGTTCTTCTGAAAATTTCAGACTCGCATTTCTCTGACTGCACTAATGCTTCATATACCTTGGCCCAAGTCCTAAACTTCTATATGAAAATAACAGTTAAAATCTCCTTTTCAGGTACCTTTTCTTTTCTAACTTTGGGCCAATTTCTATAGAGTTGAAAGGTGTGGCTAGAAAGTAAATTTCATTTAACATGGTGGTAATATCAGGCAGCCTCAGCTCAGAGCTCATTCTGAAACCAACCCTTACACTGATGGTTCTCACTCCGCAACTATGTTTTATGCAGCTTTCATTAACGCGTATACTACTTTATACATTGCATAGTTCATAGTGCTGGCATTTCCTTGCTTAAAGAGACATGAAGCATCCCAAATAAAGCAAATGATCACCTTTGAAACTTGCTATTCCTATCTAGAGCTCTTAGTTATGTAAACTACATGAAAGGACACACTACTTTATTCAAATTCAAATGTCACCATTCTAGGTTGAAGATATTTTTGTGGAGGGGGACTAAAATTTTAAACCAAATAAACACTTGCAGATGGACACTGCGAAATTAAATAGCCCTGCATTATCAATTGAAATACAGCACAAAACAAAAATAGAGCCAAGGTATCACACCTTTAGCATGTAGGGAATATCTTTTACAGACTTCAGTGTTTCTCGCAATGCAGACATCACCTCCTCGCAGCAAAGAAAGAACGATATGTAATGATCTTAAAGGATAAACAGAAGTAGATAGAAATTTAAAGCTTCAGGAAGAATAATTTAAACAATGGGTACTCTGAAAAAAGGATATTGTATTTAGCCGGCTATTCAAAATGCAGAGGTCAAGTATAGGCCTTAAAAACCACGCCCTGATATGAAAGGGATATTTTTTAATATCACAGATGATGCAAGTAAGAATAATAGTTTGTGAAATAGACTTCAGGGGCTCACCTCAAGAGACGCCTTCCCATTGGTGTAACACACTAGATATTAAAGCATTAGTTGCATAACACAGAATAGGACTGGCAACAAAAGCTTACACCTACCTTATTAAACATTCCAAAAACGGAAAACCTGCAATTCAAGAGATTCAATATTCAATTTGAAACAATGAACAAAGAATTTGCTTCACACAAATGAGGAAACCTACCCTTCCTTAGATCGGCCAATTCCCATGTGACTTGGATGCTTGTCGATTTGAAAAATCTGCAGAGCCTCATAAGCAGTTGCATCGAGTTTAAGGAATTTGTCTCTATTGAACAGTATAGGAAGCCATGCTAGGATTTTCAATAATAGATGCATTGAAAGAAATAAAAAAAATATAAATATAATATATTCAGTACTTCAAATAAATGGAATAGGATAAAATGAGATCTGTTCTACTGAATCAATGGTTATTGATGCATTGCCACCCTCCCTTTGTTCCAAGGTGTCTATAAGCCTCTCAGTTTCTAGCACAGCAAGAAGTCCCCCACTAGCACGAACTTGGACATCACTTCCAAGATCCACCATGGAATTAAGCTGTAAGTAATCAGTAGATGGAATCACAATTTTATATAGAAATAAATGCATGAAGTTTAAAAAAAAAAAAAAACAGTGGCTTAAAAGAAAATATATTCTTCAAGTGCATAACAATCAACTAAAGTCATAAAATAAAATTATAAAAAATAAAATTAAGAAAAAAAGACTTAAATATATTATCATTCTCATCATCATCTTTGTCCCAACCGACAGCAGATTTAATGATCTAGCTAATTCATGATTGGATGACAGCATCAAACATTCATAGCTTCTCTTAGCACCAGCAGTTTAATGATAAAACTCTTACATAATTTACTAAGTGGTGGATAAAATGAAATATTAAAGAACAAAAGATGTGATGAATTTTCTGGAAAAAGTTTTTTTAATCATTTAGAACAGTAAATTCCTTTTAGGCTGGAAGAAAAAAAAAATTATATATATATATATTGTGTGTGAAAGATCGGCATTAAAGTCAGACGTAAAAGTACCTAATATTATCAAGGTTGGAACTCCCAAATAACATTTTCTGTATTAACTGGCATATTATTTCGCAAGCCAAATTGATCGGATGCAATGATAATGATAGAAGAATGGTGCAATTTTGTGTCACCTGGAAGGAACACTCATTCCTTCATGCTTAGACTCTTAAAAACAAAAAAGGCCAAAAAAACTCAAGTAGTCATCAATCGCTTTGTGCTCAAAGTAGGCACCCATCCCTCGACTAATTTACCAAGGCTAGCAAACTTATGTTTGTCCAATGGTCTCAAAAAGACAATGTCATGTAATACCCAGTTTTCCTAAAATAATGTGCAAATTTAGCTCAGTTCAATTATACCCCAAAATATAAACTTTCATAAAAATCATGAAAAAGTATAACATTGTGTTTTAATCATCAAATGGAGCAAATTTGTATATAGAAGTATATGTTAATTTGCAAATGTGTACAAGTTATATAAGTAGTTTCAATTTTCATTTTTTCCCTTATAGTTTTTCCTTACTATTCATTATCAATACTACTGTATCTACAACAGCCGAAGTCACTAACTGATGTATGCAACAGTCCTGATATTAATCAATAATGGTGATTAAGTCCTTTGGGGAAGTGGGTATTTGTAGAATTTTTTAATTTTTTTATTCATTAAACCATCCACAAGCTGTACTCTCGGCAAGCCAATTGCTGAGCTGCAAACTGCGGAAGTGTGAGAGCATGTAGAACTATACCAAAGGAGGAGAATTCGGCTGAGAAGGTGAAGTCGGTTGGAAGAGGAAATTTTGGTTGGGGAAGAAGAATAAGAAAAAGAAGAAGATAAAGGAGAAGAAAAAGACAAAGAAGAGGAAGAGAGAGATGAGGAAAAAAGGTAAAAATTTAGTATTTTGTTATTAATTTACCAAAATCTGGTGAACTCATCTTGTGAAAAGTTATTAATTTAAATAATATTTAATTATTAATTTGGAATATCACAGTTCAGTGGGAAGAGAAATTTGAGGATGTCAAATAATGTATGAAGAGAGGAAATTGTGAGGTATATTACTTTAAGAATAACTTGATATTTTTTGGTGTGAAAATATATTTGTACGAATCGTCAAGTTTACAAATTTGGGTTGATGGAGATAACTTACAAGCATAAAGATAACAAGGTGTCCTAATTAGGGCTGCAAACGAACCGAGCCTAGCCGAGTATGTGAGTGTCCATGTTTGTGTTCATTTAATATCGGCTTGTTCAAGTTTGGTTCATGTTTGTTCGAGCTTTATTGTTTGTGTTCATGTTTGGTTCGTTTAAATTAATGTGTTCATGTTCGGTTCATGTTCAGTTCATGTTCGTTCGTTTAGTGCTTATCGAGCTTGTTCGCGAACATATTTAACGAATTTTTTTTAACTATCAAACAAATGCGTTCATGAACATATCTATGAACAAACACATTTATAATAAAAGCAATTGTCTATGTAACAAAGGCAATTATTATTTATATTTATTAATTTTATAGTCAAATATTAATTATTTTTATCTAGCTTATTCACGAGTTCAAAATCGAACACGAATTGAGCTTTTATCGAGCTTCTTATCGATCTTCTTATCGATCTTAATGTCGAGCTTGTTCACGAACTTCAAATGATGTTGTTCGCGAACATAAATGAGCCGAACGCATTAGTGTTCAAGTTTGTTTATTTAAGAATCGAGTATTTAAAATATTGTTCAAGTTTGTTTGTTTAGCTAATTAAACAATCGCAAACGAGCTTTAATCGAACCGAACAACGAGTAGCTCGTCGAACGTTTGGTTCGCTTGCAGCCCTAGTCCTAATTGAGGAAGCAACTCATCAATGAGGTAAGATGTGTAATTTCTAATTCATGAAGCAAGTGCTTTAGCCTTTTTCATGTACCCTTACACCAAAACTAACTTAATGTGTTACTCATTAGCAATTTTACATAATATTGAATGAAATCACATATTACCTAATGTTTTGGAAAATTTTATGTTTTACTAGGTGTTACATCGCTAAATAAAAGGCATGTTATATGTACAGACCTTTCTCTTATATGTGCATTGTGTACCTATTTATTTTAAATTAACATATGACTAGTGTAATTGTTAAAGTAAATGCAGTTATCAGAATCTAATTGACCTAAGAAAATGTGGCAAGTAGGGTAGTGTGGCCCCAATGGGCAATGCAACTCAAATGAAGACAATGCAACCTTGGTACGATGAAGCTTGCAGGCTATGGTTTTATAGAGGCAATGTCTAGAGATAACCTGGACTTATACATCAAGACAACACACATTATTAGACTATTGATGACCCAAAATTGAAAAGAAAAGATGTGCAATTAAATGAAGCATCTATGTGATTAAATTCAGGATTAAGTATTTAAAATAACTGACATGATATTACTTCTATAAGATTTTGATTGGTATTCAATCTTTTTGGAATCAGGTGAGCATATTAATGTTACATGATCTTTATATACAGCTCATTAATGCAATTATTCTATATTAATGTTGTATTATAAAGCAAAAATGGCTTCATTACATACAGTCATTACATCTGGATGTTAGTTAAATCTTTTATATTCTTCAATACTGTATTAGAACTACTTTTTTTTGTGGCCTGAAAGTTCACCAGACTTTATTCTGACTATTTTTACAGGACTGAGAAAAGATAAGATTGAGGATGACTAGAAATAGATTCAATTTAGGCCTTATGTTTTGTTATGTCCGATTTAAAGATAAGTGATGATGGGAGGAATCTAAGATATTTTTTATGAATATTTGAGGTTGTTAGTCACTCCGTAAATATAAATTATAAATGAAATTTTGGATTGTTTCTGCTTTGTTGATAAAGGTGGATGTTTTTCAAAAACGTTTATGAATAGTGGATGTATTATGATATGTAAAATGAATTGTATGAATTCATCTATCGCATCTCTCATCGAAATGTAGGAGTGGAGTCAGTGTGGGGCGTGACATGTGTCATATTAAGTGCATCCATATGATGACACTAAAAACTCTCACACCAATAATGATATAGCATGTGCCCCATGATTGAGTGATTAACCTGATTGTGATGGAGCCAATATATTATGGTTATAGCTTAAGCCCGGATATTCCCTAATCTATTATTCATGGGTAATAAGACGTGCCTAATAGAGTATGAAACCTTTTGTTAGTAAAGGTTGGCTTAAAATTAACCCTTTGACAAGCTCAGCCCTTGTCGTCTACGAGGTCCCCTTAAACAACACAACCCATTATTAATGAAAGTGATCATTTGTTGAAGTTGGATCAGTATCTCTATTGACTAATTATATCAAGATCATAACAATCCACGATACTGAAACCATAAAATCTGATCATTCCCAATCATTCGCGTTAAACTAATAGTGGTTTATTGATGGGGACATCGGAGCTTGGAAAGTCTATCAGAGACGTGGTCGTCGATCTATGGCCATGATCAAGTTGATGTATTTTTTAGTCATATTATGTTTTTGTCTTTTATTATTTTATATTGTATTTGCTTTTGTTATTTTCCTCTCTTACCCCTTACTTAAGGTGTAAGCTTAAAGGGCATTGTCTTCTCTTATTTTTGAGTCCTTTGTATGAGGCTATATATAATCATTATGTCCTCTTTTCATGCTAAATGAATGAAATGATAAAATTTTACCCGTGTTGAGGTCTTGTGAGAGCTTGAGAGAGATTGGAGAGAGATCCCTTGGAGAGGGAACCGGATCACCCACCAATCTTAGAAGTCTGGGTTCGTGGCTAAGTTTTTCTTTAGTTTGTGTCTCCACTTTTCTCCTTTGTTCTTCCACTAATCCCCGGTTCACCAACGCCCACTACCGAATCCCCAACTTCTCCAGTCCACACCAGCCGACCTCAACCTGCCATCACATCCCCAAATCAGCCCCTTTATTCTCCACCTAGCTGCCAACCCATCTCCAAAACCCCTAGCCAAGCCGCCGGTTTCCCTTCCCCCCCCCCCCCAATTTTCCAATCTCCACTTGAATAGTTTCCTTTTTTTGCTTAACTTCTTTTGGGAAAGTTATTTACTTTTAATCAATTAATTCAAATTTGAAATTTGAATAATTTCCTAAAATATAATCTTATTTTAGGAAAGTTTCTAAAATCAAATTTAAATTAATTTGATTTGGATTGGACATTTAATCTCATCCTAATTAGTAAATCCCAATGAGTAAAACATTAAACTTGATTTAATTCCCCCCAAACCCTACCTAGTGTCGCCGGCCCATAGTGGGTTTCATTTGAGATTCTTTCCAAATTCCAAATCACCCTCTTGGAAAGAATTCAAAACCCCTTCTCCACCTCTTTGGCCGAAATCCCCCCTGGGCTCCAAAAATTCGGCCCCAGCCTCCGCCCGCTCTTGCTTTTTTCTTCGGCGAGGGAGTTTTAACGGATTAAGTTCCAAGGTAAATTTTGGAAGGCAGTTGGGTTTGTAGATAAGACACTACCCTGATATTTCGCCCTCATTTTGCGAGGACTTTATGATCT